GAGAATGTGTTGGTTTCTAATATATGTAATTTCTTTATGCTTGTGGGTAAACAGTATTTCTTGCTGTTTCTTTGTCAGTGTTGATGTGGAGATTGTCTGGTTTGCCTACTCTGGAACATGCAACATATAATTGTCCTTCTTTAGGGGTCCCTTTCAAATCTATGATACTATATCTCTCTGTGTGTGAATCATATATATCTATATCTATGGCTGGATGGCTCTTTGTCAGGAGGGCTTTGATTAGGTTTTCTTGCCCTGGTGAAGGGAGTTGGACTGGATGGCCTTAAGTATTTTCTGTTGGTCATGGGGGTTCTGTGTGGGAAATTTGCCCCAATTTTGTCATAATTCAGAATGGCCTTTGATTGTAGGTGAACAATAAATCCCAGTAACTACAACTCCCAAATGCCAAGGTCTATTTCCCTAAATTCCATCTGTGTTCATATTTGGGCATATGGAATATTCGTGTTGAGTTTGGTCCAGATCCATCATTGTTTGAGTCCACAGTGCTCTCAGGAGAACTACAACTCCCAAACTCAAGGTCAACGCCCACCAAATGCTGCTAGTATTTTCTGTTGGTCATGGGAGGCCTGTGTGCCAAGTTTGGTTCCATTCCATTGTTCAGAATGCTCTTTGATTATAGGTGAACTATAAATCCCAGCAACTACAACTCCCAAATGACAAAATCATAATGTTTTGAGTGATGGTCACTCCTTGTGTTGTGAGACGTTTTGTTGCCAAATTTGGTGTGATTTGCCTGGTAGTTTTCTTGTTTTTAAGGTACTCATTATGCACAGAGCATTTTATATATATATAAATTATATTATTCTACGCTTGGCTTTTAGCTGGCTTCGGCTCTTGATATGCCACTGCTTCGTATCAATCAAGCAAACAGCCCCGACCTTCTCAGCGTATCACAGTATTATTCTGGAGAACTGGTCTCCTATGTGAGGAAGGTGAGACTTGCCTTATAATCCTGCTCCGAACGTGTGCGTTTTCCTAATTATTATTATACTTGATTTTAAAAGAATTGTTACAGATTGCACCTAAATCTATCTTTTTGCTTTTGCTATATTAAAAAAAAGGTTTTGCAGATCATCCCGGAAAGCATGTTTACCTCCCTCCTTAAGATCATAAAGCTGCAGACGCACAATATCATTGAAGTGCCCACCCGCCTGGACAAAGACAAACTGCGGGACTATGCCCAGCTCGGGCCGCGATATGAGGCAAGTTTTCGTTTTTTAAAACTTGGGAGCAGAGACAGATAGGGATGTGTTGTCGAACACTTCCTTGGCCAGAATCACTGGGTTGCGGTGAGTTTTTCGGGCTGTCTGGCTATGTTCCTGAAGCATTCTCTCCTGATGTTTCGCCCCCATCTGTGGCAGGCATCCTCAGAGGTTGTGAGGTCAGGAGGGAATGCACATGATTTCACTCCTTTCCTAATATACTTATTACACAACAGGAGTCAACGCACTGAAACAATAGGAGTTTGATAAGACTCAGCACTTACGTAAGTAAGTTCCATTGATTAAGTAGGTTATTCTAGATAGGACTCAGTATTTGATTTAGGTCATTAAGGTAAAGGTAAATGTTTCCCCTTGACATTAAGTCTAGTCGAGTCCAACTCCGGGGGGTGGTGCTCATCTCCATTTCTAAACCGAAGAACCAGCATTGTCCGTAGACACCTCCAAGGTCATGTGGCCGGCATGACTATTATTTACAGTACTATTTATTTATAGTATTTCTATATCGCTTTTCCCCTAGGGGGACTCAAAGCAGTTTACACATAATTGGCAAAACTTCAATGCCATACATTGGACACTGACGCGATGCCAACCACAATAATAAAATGACAATTAAGCTTAAATCATAATTAGACAGTACATAAGCAATCATTAAAACAATAAATAATAAAAACAGTCTCGTCTTTACCTTCCCTCCGGAGCGGTACTTATTGATCTACTCTCAAACTGCTAGGTTGGCAGAAGCTGGGGCTAACAGCAGGAGCTCACCCCACTCTCCAGATTTGAACTGCCAACCTTTCAGTCAGCAAGTTTAGCAGCTCAATAGTTTAACTCGCTGCGTCACCAGGGGTCATACCATTGTCTAATTCAGAGTTTCTCAAACTGTGCCCCCTCCCACCCCCAGTTGTTTTGGACTTCAGCTCCCATAATTCCTAACAGCTGGTAAAATGTCTGGGATTTCTGAGAGCCAAGTCCAAAACAACCTGGAGGAGCACAGTTTGCTTCTAAAACCTTCTTCCTCTGATGGAGTCACTGTTTGTGGCTAATGTGCTACATTTGGCATAGTAAATCACAAATTGGCTTAGGCATGCCCTCTAGCTGAAGTACTTTGGCCACATAATGAGAAGACAAGAAAGCTTGGAGAAGAGAATGATGCTGGGGAAAGTGGGAGGAAAAAGGAAGGGGGGCCGACCAAGGGCCAGATGGATGGATAGCATCCTTGAAGTGACTGGCTTGACTCTGAAGGAGCTGGGGGTAGCCACGGTCAACAGGGAACTTTGGCCTGGGCTGATTGATGAGGTCACAAAGAGTAAGAAGCGACTGAACGAATAAACAACAACATACCCTCTAGCAAAATGACAGATATAGGTATTTTGTTGGAAGCTGTAAGGTATGGAAAAGGGGGAACTTTTTTAGCATTGACCATCATAGGTGCCACTTTTAATTGCTATTCTCTCATTCTTTTTCCAAAGGTTGCCAAGCTCACACATGCCATTTCAATTTTCACGGAAGGCATCCTGATGATGAAAACAACACTGGTCGGGATCATTAAGGTAATGTTTCCCATCTCAGAAGCAGACTAAAAAATATGTTCTAGAAGCATTCTCTCCTGACATTTTGCCTGCATCTATGGCAAGCATCCTCAGAGGTTGTGAGACCATAGATGCAGCCTTCAACAAAACTAAAAAAAGCTGGAAAGCAGCCTGAAACACACACTCTTCCTTAAACAAATATGTGAAGGAGCAGGGCTGCCAGTTTCTGAGAACTATCTGAACTCCTGATATAGATCATAATTGTTACATGCAGCAGCTTGATTGAACTGTTGCATTCTCACTTGTGGAAAGAATTGAGCACTATTCACATGACCTCTCTCTCACACGCACGTTTCCTTTCTCCTCAGGTGGATCCAAAGCAACTGCTAGAAGATGGAATACGGAAGGAGCTGGTGAAACGGGTGGCCCTCGCTCTGCACAGAGGACTCATGTTCAACCCCAAAGCCAAGGTGTCCAGAGATGGCCCTCAAATGCTTCCTATTTTCCTCCATTTCTTTATTTCTGCTTGGCTTAAACCAATTGTGACACCTTGCATACATGTTGTTATCATGTATATCTGTGTATTTGTTGACTACCAAGGCCAGGTTTTGGGGTTTGAATTACAACTCATAGAATCATAGAGCTGGAAGAGAGCACAAAGGCCATCCAGTCCAACATGTAGCCGTTGAACCTCTGTTTAAAGGTTGGGTGGCCATAGGCCCTCCAGCATAACTCTGTGGCAGGCATGGGCAAACTTTGACCCTCCTGGCTGTTAGGAATTGTGGGAGTTGAAGTCCAAAACACCTGGAGGGCTGAAGTTTGCCTATGCCTGCTCTATAGCATCCTTCTAAGGAACATTTTTTTGCCCATAGGATTTGCTATTTTCAATAGGATTTGCTACCATGCAACAGCATGTTCCAGTGCTGAACAGCTCTCACCATCAGGAGGTTTTTCCTTATGTTTAGATGGAGTTCTAAACCATTGCCCTGTGTGCTAGTCTCTAGAGCAGAAGAGATAAGTCAAAGGATTGTTGTTGTTGCTGCTGTTGTTAACTTTCTTAATATCCCACCTTTCTCCCCATAGAGAGTCAAGTCAGCTAATAATTCCACACTTAGGCAAATTTTAAAAGAATTACACTTTTATTTATTTTATTTTATTTATTTGTTTATTTATTTACTATATTTGCTATATAGTATAGCAACTATATTGGGATTCAATGTTTAATTTTAAGCTCTTTTTTGTATTTATATTTGAATTATTGTATGTTTACTTTTAAAAATTTTATTGTATTTCTATTTGAATTACTTCTAAGCTTGTTATTGTATTTATATTTGAATTATTGTCTCATGTTTATTATTGTATGTTTAAATTGATATGTTAATTGTTTAAATTGATATGTTATGTTTATTATTATATGTGTAATGCAGCATTGTATGCCATGGATTATAAGCCACCCTGAGTCTCCCACTGGGGTGAGAAGGCTGGGGTATAAATGTGGTATAATAATAATAATAATAATTTGCATACCGCCCTTCTCAGCCTGAAGGTGACTCAGGGTGGTTCACAGTTGGCAACAAATAAAACAATCATAGAACACTGTTAAAACATTTAGCATAAAATATAAAAATATAAAAAGACCATACAGAGCCGTAAAAACATTGTGGTGAACGTCTCCTTGTAAAAACTTTATTCAGTTGCATCGTCAGGTCGTTCCCTGATTTCATATAGTTATGCTGGGTTAGCAAAGGCCTGCTCAAAAAACTAGGTTTTAATCTTTCTTCAAAAAGTCAGGGTATAGGGGGGCTGATTTTATATCCCTGGGAAGGACGTTCCACAGTCGAGGGGTCACCACTGAGAAGGCCCTGTCTCTCATCACCGCCAAATGCATCTGTGAGGAAGGCAGGACTGAGAGCAGGGCCTCCCGAGGAGATCTTACTGTCCTAGATGGTTCATAAGGAGAGATACATTCAGATAGGTAAGCTGGTCCAGAACCGTTTAGGGCTTTATAGGCTAAAGCCAGTGCCCAGAAGCAAAATGGCAGCCAGTGGAGCTGGGGCAACAGAGGAGTTGTGTGCTCCCTGAGCTCCTGTTAACAACCTGGCTGCTGCCCGCAAGACCATTTGCAGCTTCCAAACAGTCTTTGAAGGCAACCCCATGTAGAGCATGTTGCAGTAGTCTATACGGGATGTAACCAGAGCATGGATTACCGTGGCCAAGTCAAACTTGCCAAGGTACAGGCACAGCTGGCGCACGATTTTTAACTGAAAATGCTCCCCTGGTCACCGTATCACTGAAGAACTTCCTGACTGTGAGAGCCGTTCAGCAGTGGAACTCTCTGCCTCGAAGTGTGGTGGAGGCTCCTTCTTTGGAAGCTTTTAAGCAGAGGTTGGATGGCCATCTGTCAGGGGTGCTTTGAATGCAATATTCCTGCTTCTTGGCAGGGGGTTGGACTGGATGGCTCATGAGGTCTCTTCCAACTCTATGATTCTATGATTCTATCATACAGAAGGACCTGTATGATCTGCTGCTTTATGCCATCTTTAATAGTGACTTGAATAACATTGATGTCCATCTTCAGCTATGTTTAGTTAAAGCAAGTTGGGTTGTTGTAAGTTTTTTGGGCTGTATGGCCATGTTCTAGAAGCATTCTCTCCTGATGTTTTGCCTGCATCTATGGCAGGCATCCTCAGAGGTTGTGAGGCTGCAGGTGAAATGTCAGTAGAGAATACTTCTAGATTATGGCCATACAGCCCGAAAAATCTACAACAACCCAGTGACTCCGGCCATGAAAGCCTTCAACAATACACTAAAGCAAGATAATTGTCAACTCTTTGGTTGCTATAAAATACTATTTTAATCCCCCCCCCCTTCATATGGGGATGATTTTAATATGTTTCAGCCTCATAGCTTAAGTATAGTACAGCTATCACATCAGTGCTCCTAGACTTACTGTGGTTAGTGAAAGATATGGTTAACAGCAAACCATATTGGGGGGAAAAGATTTTCAGAAGCAAAAACATAGCATAGAATTGTGCTGGAGGAGCTAGGAAATGCCCCATCTCTAGGCATGTCTAGGTCCTCCAGTGTGACTACAGTGTGTATGGGCAAACTTCAGCCTTCCAGGTGTTTTGGACTTCAACTCCCACAGCCGATAGGCTGTTAAGAATTGTGGGAGTTGGGAGTCCAAAACACCTGAAGGGTTGAAGTTTGTCGATACCTGCTCTGCAGTCAGCTTCTGATGCATGCACACCATAGAGAACTGCTACTTAATCTGTGGGTCTTGACCCCAAATGGGGTCCCCTGTTTAGCGTAATGTTGGGGTCATGAAAAATTTGGCAACAGTTTCTAAATGCCACCCATTTACACAAATCTGTTAGCAACAACATGCAATGTTTACAGAATATGCTTCAGTTATACTCCACAAAAAGGAAAACCAGCCTGTTTAGCAAGCCTTGAAAAGGTTGGTTTGTTGTCAGTAAACCTTTGATTTTTATACCTATATTATATACATGTATACTTGAAGTGTTGTAACAAATGTGCACATGGAAGAGGCTCACAAGTGGGAAATGTGTCATATAATTTCACTAGGAAGATGTCTGGCCTTGTCATACTTTGTCATATTTGGGCAAATGAAACTATGGGTTCTGACCTGACAGATATGTGGGTCACTCTTATGGAGCTTGTGATCAGTGTCTGTCTGATGGTGAGATTAACTTTCCCTGTTTTCACAGCCCAGTGAACTCATGCCCAGGTTAAAAGACATGGCAGCCACCATGGATGGATTCCATCGTTCCTTTGAGTACATCCAGGATTATGTCAACATTTACGGTTTAAAAATCTGGCAAGAAGAAGTGTCGCGAATCATCAACTACAGCGTGGAGCAGGAGTGCAATAACTTCTTAAGGACCAAGGTAAATGAGAGCCTAGCTGTTTTTAGTTCTGCAACAATCAAGTTATCATTAAAGGTAGAATGCGAAAGCAAAATCAAGGATAGGGTGGGATACTTGTCCAGCTCAAGTCATGTTATCATGTTCCTGTACCTTGGGAAGTCAGACTTGGCCATGGTGGTCCAGGCTCTTGTTACATCTAGGATAGACTACTGCAATGCACTCTACGTGGGGTTGCCTTTGAAGACTACTCGGAAACTTCAAATAGTCCAACGAGAGGCAGCCAGGTTAATAACTGGGGCGGCATACAGGGAGCATACAATTCCCATGTTACGCCAGCTCCACTGGCTGCACCACCTGATATCCGCTGGGGAGTAGCAACCAATAGTAAAAGGACCAAGGCAGTGACATCTCCAGCCCACCCCCTGTTTGGGTATCAGCCAGCACGTCAATGACTTAAATCAAGAAATAGTTTTCTGAGATCTTCAGAGGCACTTGCTGGAACACTGCAGCAAGCGAGAGTCCAAAAGTGGCAGGCTCAAACCCAAAACCTCAATCAGTGGCTGATACCAAGTGAGAGACTCCCTCCTGGGCACACAGAAAACTGGGTGACTTTGAAGGCGCTGAACAGACTGCGCTCTGGCACCACGAGATGCAGAGCCAACCTTAAGAAATGGGGCGACAAAGTGGAATCCACGACATGTGAGTGTGGAGAAGAGCAAACTACAGACCACCTACTGCAATGCAACCTGAGCCCTGCCACATGCACAATGGAGAACCTTCTTATAGCAACACCAGAGGCACCCCAAGTGGCCAGCTACTAGTCAAAGGACATTTAATAGAATGCCAAGTTTGCAGACTTTGTGTTTTGTTTGTTTGTTTTTAATGCAATACAACTGTTTGGTTCGCTCCTGACACGATAAACAAATAAATAAACAAATAAATAGTCTATACTAAACTAACTAACTGCTCTTTGTTGAGGACTTGAGACTTGGGCAGTGTGGGGTTGAATTCCAGCAGCCGAAAAACCTAAATCTTGCAGCAAAGGGAATGTTGTTCAGTATAGTCCTCAAGATTATTTGAACCTACTGTGTTTCAGATTCAAGATTGGCAAAGCATATACCAGTCCACCCATATCCCGATACCCAAATTTGCACCAGTGGATGAATCTGTGACGTTTATTGGTCGTCTCTGCCGAGAGATTCTCAGGATCACTGATCCAAAGTGAGTGTTGGACATGACGTCTTTTAATGAAGCCTCCTTCATAAAAGTACTTGTTTTTCTGGTGTCATCTTTCACTCATGTTTGTGTCCCTCAATTCCCCTTCTGTCTCCTTTCAGAGTTGCCTGTTATATTGACCAACTAAACACATGGTATGACATGAAAACCCATCAGGAGGTATCCAGCAGCCGCCTCTTTTCCGAGATCCAGGACACTTTGGGCACCTTTGGCCTGAATGGTTTGGACAGGCTTCTCTGCTTCATGATTGTGAAGGAACTTCAGGTACCTGGTATTAATAATCTAGAAGTGAGCAGAGAGTAGAGTAAGGTCTATTGGATATGTGATTTTGCAGTAGATCTGCAAGTGTCCCTTCCGTTTGCCTGCCGTTGGGAGATTGGGCAGACCCAGAACAGAACAACAGGTTCTCTGACTGTCATCAAGGAACGCAATGGAGTAGTGACCCATTTCCTCCAACCCAACCATAATAAGAATTATTATTTATTTATTTGACTAGTCACATGACCATTTCAAAATACATGAATAAAACACAAGGCAAAAAGGAGAGGAACCCAACCATAAAATAAGTAAACAAAACCAAATTCTCCACCTAGAAGTATTTACAAGGTCATTGCTTTTCCATAAGACTTCATCTTGAAGTAGTCCCAAACAATTAGGAACAAGTGTTGGGTTGCTGTGAGTTTTCCAGACTGTATATCCATGTTCCAGAAGCATTCTCTCCTGACATTTTGCCCACATCTATGTAAGACTTCCTCATAGGTTGTGAGGTTTGCTGGAAACTAGGCAAGTAGGGTTTATATATCTGTGGAATGTCCAGGGTAGGAGAAAAAAAGTGTGAATGTTGCAATTGGCCACATTGATTAGCGCTGAATGGCCTTGCAACTTCAAGGTCTGGCTAATTGCTGCCAGGGGAAATCCTTTGTTGGGAGGTATTAGCAGACCCTTATTGTTTCATTTCAGGAATTTCCCTGTTTTTTGGGGGGGTTTTTTAGTATTCCTCTTTATTTACTGTCCTGATTTTAGAGTATTTTTTAATACTAGTAGCCAGACCCACTAAGAAAATCCAACAAATGCTACATTCAGCAAAGGACAAGACGGATCCTCTCACCTCTGCAGGAGTCTATCGTATACCATGCAGCTGTGGACAAGTCTACATAGGGACCACCAAACCCAGCAGCATTGCCCAAACGTGAATCAGGGAACATGAAAAGCACTGCAAACCAGAGAAGTCAGCCATAGCAGAGCACCTGATGAACCAAGCTGGACATGGCATATTATTTGAGAACACAGAAATGCTGGACCACTCTCACAACCACCATGTCAGGCTACACAGAGAAGCCACTGAAATACACAAGCATGTGGACAATTTCAACAGAAAGGAGGAAACCATGAAAATGAACAAAATCTGGCTACCAGTATTAAAACACTTAAAAATCAAGCAGTAAATAAATAACAACACTCAAAAACAGGAATTCCAGACAAGAAACAATCAGGGGCAACTAATCGCCTCCCAACAAAGGATTCCCCCAGGCAGCAATCAGCCAGTCTTTGAAACTGCAAGGCCATTCGATGCTAATCAAGGTGGCCAATTACAATATTCACACTTGTCTCAAGCAGTCTCTTTCTCCCACCCCGGACATTCCACAGATATATAAACATAACTTGCCTAGTATCCATTTTAAACAACCAATCAGAATGGAAGCAGAAACAGAGAGGAGAGAAGAAATTAGATACATTCCCAACTGTCATTCAAGAGACATGGGGGAAGGGAAATCCTCAGACTTTTCTAAGCTAACTAAACTGTTCCTCAATGAGGACTTGAGACTTGGGTTGAAACCCAACAAAATTAACACCCCCAATGTGTCTATTTTTTAGAATTTCCTCCGCATGTTTCAGAAGACTGTGATGCACGACAAAGGAGTGCACGAGGCACTGAAATCTCTTATGAAGTCTGTCAGTCCTCTCAAAGGAATTGTGGGTAGGTAGAGCCTTTGGCTAGACTTCCAGGTGGCAAACCACAGATTCAAATTCACCCAGCCTGCAGGTGACTTGCAGTAGTCTTACAAGTACGTAGCTAAAATAGGAAGGGATTGGCAGAACAAAACCTGTGTCTTATAGAAATGGCTCCTTGTGCAAAAGCAGTGGAGAATTATGTTTTTTAGTCAAGGATCACATTTCCATTCTTTTTCTTTCAAATTGGTGAGTTCAGAGCCAAATATGGACAACGCCCTTCATCTTCTTCTTGTCTCTCTTTATGCAAATCCTTATTCTCTTTCCCTCCCTTATCGCTTGGCTGCCAGAGGAGACACAAAACTCTCTTGCCAGAGATCTGAATTAATCATTTGCAAAGGGCTGTTGAAATGATTCTCAGTGCTGCAAGTTGTCCATGTGTGTTTTAAAGGCTTTGTATTGTTTAGTGCACAAGGGACATGAAGAAGAGGCATTCATTGCTTCCTGCCTTGAGTCATAAGTATAGTTTGGAATCCTGCTGAGACGTGGGAGATAATTTCTGATGACATAACTCAGTGGGATTGTAGAGAGAACGGAGCAGGTTGGTCTGGGTCGGGGTGTGCCAAATGGCTCACTGAGGCTGCCATGAAGACCCTGCAAAGCCACTTAATCATGGCGATCTTGGGGATTTCAATGTATAAGCCTATCAGAAGGGCACCTGCTAACACAGTGTTTCTCAACCTGGGAGTCAGGACCCCTGGGGGGTCATGAGGGGGTTTCAGAGGGGTTGCCAAAAACAAATTTCTGATAGTCTTAGTAATCCCTTTGGCATAGTCGTTTGCCCTCCGGATGTAGATGAACTACGTCTTCCCTAAATCCCTGTCAATTCATCCCAAATCCCTCCAGTATTTTCTGTTGGTCATGGGGGTCTCTGTGTGGGAAGTTTGGCCCAATTCTATCATTGGTGGGGTGCAGAATCCTCCTTGATAAATCCCAGCAATTACAACTCCCAAATGACACGGTCTATTTTCCCCAAACTCCACCAGTGTTCACATTTGGGCATATTGAGTATTCCTGCCAAGTTTGGTCCAGATTTATCATTGTTTGAGTCCACAGTGCTCTCTGGAAGTAGGTGAACTACAATTCCAAAACTCAAGGTCAATACCCACCAAACCCTTCCAGTATTTTCTGTTGGTCATGGGAGTTCTGTGTGCCAAGTTTGCTTCAGTTCCATCATTGGTGAAGTTCAGAATGCTCTTTAATTGTAGGTGAATTATAAATCCCAGCAACTACAACTCCTAAATAACTACAACTCCCAAACCAATAAAGAGTCACTTAAATACAAATGTTGACAGCATATTTTTCTGTTACAGCCAATTGTGTCAAAGTGTATTCTGCAGCCATTGCCAAAACTCAGAAGATATGGGCCGCTTACCTTGATGCAATCATGAAGGTACTTGGGATTTGACTACCCTTTTGACTGTCTACAAATAGATTTTTGTCTAGGTGGCATTTGTGATAGTTCTTTTTGCAAAAATTGGGCTAAATCCAGATTCAGTCCTGGTTGGAGTATACTAATGGGGCTTTGAAGGAGCAAGTTAATTGTGACTAAGTGGTGTATTGTTAATTATTATGGTGCTGCTTTAAGCATGACTAAATCTGGACTAAAGCCTGACTGCTCATTGGAGGGAAGGATAGTAGAGGCAAAGATGAAGTACTTTGGCCACATCATAAGAAGAAAGGAAAGCTTAGAGAAGACAATTATTGGGCTGTTGTAGGTTTTTTCGGGCATTATGACCATGTTCTAGAGGCATTCTCTCCTGACATTTCGCCTGCATCTATGGCAAGCATCCTCAGCATTTCGCCATAGATGCAGGCGAAACGTCAGGAGATAATGCTTCTAAGATATGGCCATATAGCCCGAAAAAACCTACAACAACCCAGTGATTCTGGCCATGAAACCTTTGACAATACATTGAAGACAATTATGCTGGGGAAAATGGAAGGAAAAAGGAAGAGGAGCCAACCAAGGGCAAGATGGATGGATGGTATCCTTGAAGTGACTGGATTGACCTTGAAGGAGCTGGGGGTGGTGACGGCTGACAGGGAGCTCTGGTGTGGACTGGTCAATGAGGTCACGAAGATGAGGTCATGAAAAGTCGGAAACGACTGAACCAATGAAAAACAACAACAAAATCTGGATCCTATTCATAAAGCTGAAAATTAAGATGTATGAAAGTATAAGAAGTGCTTCTGAGAGTGTACAGAGTACATTTCCACTTAAACACACTATCATCACTGCCAGTCCAGATAGATCTAGGATCAAGTCCTGACAGAGATGACGTCAGTCAGCTAGTCTTAATGTTCTCCTATAACGGAATGGCAGAGCGCTGTTCATGACACATGTGTCCATTCAAGAATTGCTTGCCCCTTTCAATTAATTTTTGTGGTAGGAAGGTTCATTAAAGACTCCCCCCAGACCCAATTAGAGCCATAAATCTATGCTCTTAAATGATACATAGTGAAATCAGCACTGAAATAGAGGAAGCTTTATGTAACAAAGCTGCGGTTGGCGCATTGGGTTAAACTTAAACCCTTGTACTGCTGAACTGCTGACCTGAAGATTGACAGTTCAAAGGCATGGGTTGGGGTGAGTTCCTGCAGTTAGCCCTAGCTCCTGCTAACCCAGCAGTTTGAAAACATGCAAATGTGAGTTGATAAATAGGTACTTGCTGCAACATAACCAGGAGGTATCTACGGACAACAGGCTCCTTGGCTTGGAAATGGAACAGAAGTCGGCGATGAAAGGGGAAGTCTTTACCTTTGTTCTGTGTATTTGTGTGTCATTGTTATTTCACTGCATGAAAGGCATTGAATGTTGGCCTATCTGTGTATATTGTAATCCTTGCAATCCACTCTGAGTCCCCTCAGGGAGATAGAGCAGAATATAAATAAAGTGTTGTAGTAGTAGTAGTAGTAGTAGTAGTAGTAGTAGTAGTATTGCTCATGGCTCAATTTTGTCTTTCTTTTCTCACTCTCTGCAGGTTGGACAGATGCAGATTTTAAGGCGCCAAATAGCCAACGAACTTAACTATTCCTGCCGATTTGACTCCAAACATTTAGCGGCCGCTTTAGAGAACCTGAATACGTAAGAATCCATGAATGCAGTTTGTGTTGCCAGGATAATAATGAACTGTTGTTTTCAACTTACATCGAAAGGTGTGAAAATGTCACCTTTGAGAAATGCAGTATTTAATGGAGTCAGTGCGATTGAATCAGAAAAGGCAAGTTGGGTTTAACCAAGGGCTGCCAGATCATAATTTGCATAAGGAATGCAAAACAAATTATAAACGGGGGATAATTTGAAGAACATCTCATAATCTGCCATATCGCTCACTACTTGCCACCACTAGCCTGACAAAGAGAAATTATGTTTTTCTTTGTTTTGAAACCTCATATTCTTCCCTTAAAGATGTAACAAAACCTGGGATTACATATCAGAGTTTCACAGGATAACTTTCAACATGTGGAATGGTTTCTTAGTTGTGCCTTAAGTAGCAATATTGTTCAGCTGTACCGACATGCGCAGCGATGCTTCAGGTGTAACATGGCTTCCATAACTTCAGACAGAATGCATAATGCACATGCGCAGCAATGCTTTAGGTGTAACTTGGCTTCCATAACTTCAGACAGAATGCATAATGCACATGCGCAGCAATGCTTCAGGTGCAACCTGATATTCATAACTTCAGACTGAATGCATAATGCACATGCTCAGCAATGCTTCAGGTACAACCTGGCATCCATAACTTCAGATTGAATGCATAATGCACATGCGTAGCAATGCTTCAGGTTCAACCTGGCTTCCATAACTTCAGACTGAATGCATAATGCACATGCTCAGCGATGCTTCAGGTTCAACCCGGCTTCAATAACTTCAGACTGAATGCATAATGCACATGCACAGCGATGCTTCAGGTGTAACATGGCTTCCATAACTTCAGACTGAATGCATAATGCACATGCACAGCGATGTTTCAGGTGCAACCTGGCTTCCATAACTTCAAACTGAATGCATAATGCACATGCACAGCAATGCTTCAGGTGCAAACTGGGCTTCCATAACTTCAGACTGAATGCATAACGCACATGCACAGCGATGTTTCAGGTTCAACCTGGTTTCCATAACTTCAGACTGAATGCATAATGCACATGCACAGCGATGTTTCAGGTTCAACCTGGCATCCATAACTTCAACCCGGATATTCTGTATTGGACCAGTTATCTGTCCACTGCACTATTCCAGGTGCTTTCATAGGGTAACATTTACATGCATAAGATGCCAAAAATCTTCCAGACACAATTTCAGAATCATAAAGTGAGGGGTAGCAGAGAGAGAGAGAAAAAGGCAATGCTTGGATTTCAGTTGAAATAAAAATATTTGTTATTGGTACTTGCTGGGGGGTGCACTGTTGGGATTCTGCTTTGGGACCAGTCCTTCTCTCCCCATAATTAGTTAAAATACAGCAAAGAGGAATCATAGACCAACTTTGTATATGTATTTTTCCCTTGAAGCAGGAAGCATCTTTTTAAAACAGGAATACAAACCCCATATATCCATGGGGGATATATATTCCAAGCCACCAACCCCCAGGATACTTAAAACTACTGATAGTAGCTAGCCCTGTATTGTGACTACCTGTACAAGAAGCATACCATAGAATAATACTGGAGGAACTAGAAAAACCCACTAACACTTCTAGCTCTTCCAGTGATATTTTATGGTATGCTTGAGCTGGAAGAATAGCATTAAACTCTCACTGGAAGAATTAGAGAAGCTCACAAATAATTCTGAGGGAATATTTTTGGGAATCAGGAGGAGGAGGCAGCGGCAGCCAGTAAAGGTGGTCCCAGTGGTGATGAGCACACTGAGTGCAGTGCCTAAAGACCTTGGCCTGCATTTAAAAACAATCAGTGCTAACAAAATTACCTTCTGTCATCTGCAAAAGGCCACCCTACTCGAATCTGCACGCATTATTCACCGATATATCACACAGTCCTAGACACTTGGGAAGTGTCTGACGTGTGATTGAATACAAAAGTGATCTTGTTTGCTGTGTACCAATCTTGTTGTGTCGGCAAAAAAAGCCAATGGGATTTTGGCCTGCATCAATAGGAGCCTAGTGTCTAGGTCCAGGGAAGTAATGCTACCCCTATATTCCGCCTTGGTTAGACCACATCTGGAATATTGTGTCCAATTCTGGGCACCACAATTCAAGAGAGATATTGACAAGCTGGAATGTGTCCAGAGGAGGCGACTAAAATGATCAAGGGTCTGGAGAACAAGCCCTATGAGGAGCGGCTTAAGGAGCTGGGCATGTTTAGCCTGAAGAAGAGAAGGCTGAGAGGAGATATGATAGCCATGTATAAATATGTGAGAGGAAGCCACAGGGAGGAGGGAGCAAGCTTGTTTTCTGCTCTTGGAGACTAGGACGCGGAACAATGGCTTCAAACTACAAGAGAGGAGATTCCATCTGAACATGAGGAAGAACTTCCTGACTGTGAGAGCCGTTCAGCAGTGGAACTCTCTGCCCCAGAGTGTGGTGGAGGCTCCTTCTTTGGAAGCTTTTAAACAGAGGCTGGATGGCCATCTGTCAGGGGTGCTTTTAATGCAATATTCCTGCTTCTTGGCAGGGGTTGGACTGGATGGCCCATGAGGTCTCTTCCAACTCTTTGATTCTATGATTCTATGTGTGTATTCAATAATAATAATAATAATAATTCTTACCCTCCTTTCTTTGTGGCTCAAGGCGGGTCACAGCAGAGTCACACACACATTGCAGAAATTCTATAAACACACATATTAAAATGTAGTTCTATGAAAGGTACATATTAAAACATATTTCTGTAAAATACATATTAAATGCACAGGGCAGATTCAAACGCAGGACACAAGTTTAAAATTCATGCTTAAAACCGGTTGGGTTTAAATTGAAATCTGAAGTGCCTGGCTTCTGCATTTGTGCAGTGTTTCAAAGGAGCTGTCCAAGGTGCTAAGCACATTTGTGGGATAGGATTCAGCATTTTTGAGAACTCCTTTAACGTTCAGAGTGGTGGCTTCCACTGACATGGTCTTTACTTTCCGATGAACTGGGTTTACTGAAACTTGGCCTGCTTCTTCTATTGTCTCTTCTTCTAGAGCAATCCTGGCTGACATAGAAGCTCACTATCAGGACCCATCTCTGCCTTGCCCTAAAGAGGACAACACCCTTTTGTATGAGATCACAGCCTACCTGGAGGCCGCCGGCATTCACAACCCATTAAATAAGGTGAGGTGGAATTGTTTACCTCCCTAGCAAGGCTAAAGCTCATCTGGGTGGGCTACTTGTTCTGCACCTTTACTTTATGAAACCCTATGTGCTAAGAGTGATTTTTGGTACGCTGAACTCTGATCCTGTTGTTGCCAAAATTGGCCCATCCACACTCAGAGGGGAAATATCAACAAACTTGAGAAGCTCAAGAGTTGGGGAGGCAAAGGTCTCTTTCGCAACACACAATTATAGCTTTTCAATGCCTTTACTGGAAAGGCTCTGCCCTGTGAAATTCTGGAATTTGTAGTTTGGAGAGGCATCAGAACTCCTTTAACAAAACATATGAAATGACAGCCGATCAGTTCTTTTGATACATTCATGTCTATGCTTTTTTTTTCACTTCTTGCTTTATCTTGTTTCCCATTTTTAGATCTACATAACCACAAAACGATTGCCGTATTTCCCCATTGTGAATTTTCTCTTCCTGATTTCCCAGTTGCCGAAACTTCAGTACAGTAAAAACCTAGGTATGTTATCTCAAGGTTGCATTCTATCCCCCATGTTATTCAATAGCTACATGAAACCTTCTCAACCTCTGACCCTTTTCCCTCTCTAATTTTTCCCCTCCCTCCAACTGAATCATTTAACAATCTTAACAACTGAATAATGTCATTAGAAAATGGGCTTATGCATTCTGAAGCCGCACTAGACGTGCAGGTTGCGCACCTCCTAACGTTTTCTATAGAAGCTTCCTTGAAATTGTTTTCTGGGCCCAGGATCACACTGCAGAAAGAGCGAGTTGCTTTGAGCGGCATGGATAGAAGTCCTTCTTCCACCACCATCCTCTACAGAGCCATAAAAAGAATGGATTACGGCACATGAGCAGGAAAGCTTTATTCCCAAAAGACAACTTTTCCAAGCTGAAAAAATTAATTTCTTTTCTCCCCCTTCAGGGATGGTGTGCAAGAAGCCAGCAGATCCCATTGACTGGCCTCCTTTGGTGCTTGGGCTGCTCACGCTGCTGAAACAGTTCCATTCGCGATACACGGAGCAGTTTCTGGCTCTCATCGGTCAGTTCGTTCGTTCGATGATGGAACAGTGCACAAGGTACCTTTTCCCTCCTTCCTTCAGCACTTGTTTGCAGACTTGCAAGTTGCTTCATTGTTTTACAGTTCTGGACACCACAATTGAGAAAGGATCTTGATAAACTGGAATATGTCTAGGGGAGGGGAACCAAAATAGTAAAATATCTGGAAATTATACCCTATAGGAAGCAGCAGAAAGAGCTGGGTAAGTTTACCCTGAAGTAGAGAACATGAAAAGGGGCAAAAATGTGTACAAAAAGGCAAACATGTTGAATATGAGTGTAATAATATGGATGGATGTATATAGAGTGTAATAATATTAGTATGTGCGTATATGTGAGTGTATATATTTACATGTATATATATATATGTGTGTGTGCGCGTGTGTGTATATATATGTGTGTGTGTGTAATGATATGTATAGCATGTGTACATGCATGTATATATGTGTTTATGTATATGTATATGTGTGTATGTATATATATGTATATAGAGAAAGTATATTAGTATGTGTATATGTATCTGTGCATGTGTATGTATGTGTGTATATATGCATGTGTGTATGGATATGTATGTATATGTAAGTGTGTGCATGTGTATATATATGTATATAGAGTATAATAATATTAGTTTATGTATGTATGTACATGTATATGTGTATGTATAGGTAAAGGTAAAGGTTTTCCCCTAACATTAAGTCCAGTCATGACCGAGTCTGGGGTGTGGTGATCATCGCCATTTTTAAGCCAAAGAGCCGGCATTGTCTGTAGACACCTCCAAGGTCATGTGGCCAGCATGATTGCATGGAGCGCCGTTACCTTCCCGTCGGAGCGGTCTACTGATCTACTCACATCTGCATGTTTTCAAACTGCTAGGTAGGCAGAAGCTGGGGCTGACAGTGGAAGCTCACGCCGCTCCCCGGATTCGAACCTGCAATCTTTTGGTCAACAAGCTTAGCAGTTCAGTGGTTTAATCCACTGTGCCACTGGGGGCTCCATATGTGTGTATATATATATGAGTATAATAATATTAGTATATATATAGGCATCTATATCTATGTGTATGTATACATGTGTTTATGTATGTCTATGTATATGAATGTGTGTGTGTGTGTGTGTGTATATATATATATATATATATATACACACACACACACAGAGTATACCATTAGTAAGTGTATATGTACATGTGTATGTACATGTATGTATGTATATTTGCATGTGTATATGCATATGTATGTGTCTACATGTGAATGTGTGTGTGTGTGTGTGTGTGTGTGTGTGTGTGTGTGTGTGTATATATATATATATATATATATATACACACATACATTTGAAAGGATGCAATATTGAAGATCGTAGTGAATTTGTTTTTTAATGCTCCAAAGACTAGGTCACGAAGCAACAAATTTGAGCTGCAGGAAAAACGATTCCACCTAAACATTATGAAGAATTTCTGGATAGTAAGAGCTGTTCCAAAGCAGAATGCACTGGTTTGGAGTGTGGTGGAATCTCCTTCCCTGGAGGTTTTGAGACAGGATAAGATGGCCATCTGTTGGGAGTGCTTTGATTGTGTTTTCCAGCATGGCAGAAGGGGGCCCTTGGGGTCTCTCCCATGTATATGATTTTGCTTTCCTTAGCCTGGTTTATTCCATCAGAAAATTCTCAAGGGCAGAACAGTGCTGGCGTCCAGTTCTTTGAAAGAGCTTAAGTCAGGCTGTTGCCCAGTTTAAAGATATCTTGGTCAAGTAACTGTGCTGAATTTAACTTGAGGTAAATGTGATGGTGAGGGCACGACAGTCCATGAAAGAAAGGAGTGTTTCTGTTGCAGCTTCCTTCCAATGGAGGAAATTGTGTCTGCTCTTCATTATAGAAAAAGCATGGGCAAACTTCGGCCCTCCAGGTGTTTTGAACTTAGGAATTGTGGGAGTTGAAGTCTAAAACACCTGGAGGGTTGAAGTTTGCCCATGTCTGTTATAGAATCATAGAGTTGAAAGAAACCACATGGGAACATGCAGGGGGCTTAGGGGAAGGACCCCACAAATTATGTTATCCCAGCACATCCATTAAAGCATACAGTAGTTTCGTTTTGCTTAAACCAATTATTAAAATAATATTCTATTTGGATTGGCCTAATCTTTGCACAGGAACTCCCAGTGGTGCAGCAGGTTAAACCACTGAGCTGCTGAACTTGCTGACTGAAAGGTTGGCAGTTCAGATCCAAGAAGCAGGGTGAGCTCCCACTGTTAGTCCCAGCTTCTGCCAACCTAGCAGTTTGAAAACATGCAAGTGTGAGTAGATCAATAGGTACCACTTTGATGAGAAGGTAACGGTGCTCCATGCAGTCATGCTGGCCATATGACCTTGGATGTGTCTACGGGCAACACCAGCTCTTCGGCTTAGAAATGGAGGTGAGCACCACACCCCAAAGTCGGATATGACTAAACTTAATGTCAAGGGGAAACCTTTACCCTTTTAATATTTACACACCCAAAAATACAGTCACTCTTTAAAAAAAAACACTCTGAAATTGCAGTTTTGTTTCTGCCTATAGTCAGAAGGTCCCAGAAATGCCAGCTGATGTTGTGGGTGCCTTGCTTTTCTTAGAAGACTATGTTCGTTACACAAAACTTCCACGAAGGGTGAGTAAAAGAGTATAAACAATTCCAAACTAGTGAATAATTTTAAGTGAGATAAAAACATATTACACCATTTATATAATGCAGGGGTCCTCACACTTTTTAAACAGAGGGCCAGGTCATAGTTCCTCAAACTATCGGAGGGCCAGATTATAATTTGAAAAAAGGATGAATGAATTCCTATGCACACTGCACATATCTTATTTGTAAAAAAAACTTTAAAACAATACAATAATTAAAATGAAGAACAATTTTAACAAATATAAACGTATTACTATTTAAATAGGAAGTGTGGGCCTGCTTTTGGCAAATGAGATAGGATTGTTGTTGTTGTGTGCTTTCGTCATTTCAGATTTAGGTTGACCCTGAGCGAGGGCTGAGTAAATGACCTTGGAGGGCTGTATCTGCCCCTCGGGCCTTAGTTTGGGGACCCCTGATAGAGAATGTAAGAATTTTAGAAGATGTAACAAATTTGCAGTGTTTCTCAAACTGTGCTCCTCCAAGTGTTTTGGACTTCAGCTCCCAGAAATCCCAGCCAGTTTACCAGCTGTTAGGAATTGTGGGAGCTGAAGTCCAAAACATCTGGAGGAGCACAGTTTGACGAACTCTTGAGTTAAAGACATGCTTAGAAGTAAAATTATGCCCAAAGGCATAACTAACCATGGTTTGACTTGGCACTGAAAAAGACTTGGGAACATTTGAGCCTTGAAGGCGTTCCACAGCCAAGAAGGTCCTCTGTGTCCTTTGTCATTGTGTTGCCCATTGGTGGGACAAGGAAATTAGAAGTCAAACTCACAAAGCAGATGGAAAACCTTGGAATAAGTGTCCTCTCCTCATCCAGAACTCTGACATATGTTTCTTTGGACAGACCTTAATTTAATTTGTAGATAGGAAGAAGTCCTTCCTATCTCCAAATTGACACTTAATCGCTAGTAAAGATTCACTACTGGGACTGTCCATACTGGATAAGATGGAACAAAAATATGAAACTACTCTTTTCCTTCATCTCAGACATCCCACTGGGAATATTACTTCAAATCTGGTTTGAGTTCATTAAGTCAAAAGTCTTATCTCGTTCAAATGGTCATTTCTTGAACACAGAATGCATACTGTCTTCTCATTCCACTTAATGCTCTTTTTTAATCCAAAAGCGTATTTTTCTTTACTTATTTTGCCGTTTTTCCAGATTTTTAACCAGTATCCCCCTCTTTTCTCCAGGTTGTGGAAGCCCATGTACCTAATTTCATTTTTGATGAGTTCCGAACAGTTCTCTGAACTTCAGAACAAACTACAGCCCTGGATGGCTATCCCCAAACAAGGGAAGAAGGATAAGGATCAAGAATGATACTAACACTTCAAACTGTTTAATATTTTTCTGAGTCGCAGAGTATACTTATTGGTGCATGAACTGAAAATAAGTGACACTAGACTCTACAACTAACCCTTCTCCAAAATCATGTCATTGTTCTCAATTGAGTACTTGATACTAGCAAATTCTATTTAACCTGTAACCTTATATATAATTCCACCTGTACAAAAAATATTTACTTTATGTTCTTAGAGAGCAATATGTTGACATACATAAGATGACTTTTTTGTATAGGAATTAAAATAATGATACTAAAATAAGATTTAGACAGATTGTCTTCATTTGCTCTGCATCATGGTATAGAGAACACATCATACGACATGCGGGGCTTGATAATGAATCCAAGGCTGGAGTTTAAATTGCTGAACAAAACGTTGACAACCTTAGATATGTAGATGATACCACTTTGATGGCTGAAAGCAAGGAGGAGCTGAGGAGACTGCTAACCAAGGTAAAAGAGGAAAGTGCAAAAGCTGGTTTGCAGTTAAACATTAAAAAAAAAATCAATATGGTGGCAACCAGACTGATTGATAACTGGAAAATAGAGGGAGAAGATGTGGAGGCTGTGACAGACTTTGTATTTCTAGATACAAAGATTGCTGCAGACGCAGACTACAGCCAGGAAATCAGACGATGTTTACTTCTTCGGAGGAGAGCAATGACCAGTCTCGATAAAATAGTAAAGAATAGAGACATCGCACTGGCAATGAAGATCCGCATAGTTAAAACAATGGTACTCCTCGTAGCAACCTATGGATGTGAGAGCTGGACCATAAGGAAGGCTGAGTGAAGGAAGATATTTTTTAAAAATAATCTTTATTAAATTTTCCATATATTAAAAACGAACGTACAAACATGGAGACACCAAAAGTGGAAGAGGAAAATAGATAAAGGGGGGGGGGGAAGGAAGATAGACGTGTTTGAACTGTGGTCCTAGTGGAAAATTCTGAGAGTGCCTTGGACCGTGAGAAGAGCCAACCAGTCCATATTTCAGGAAATAATGCCTGACTGCTCATTGGAGGGAAGGATATTCGAGGAAATTATATCAGAGGTAATAATATTAGAGAGCTTGGAAAAGATAATTATGCTGGGGAAAATGGAAGAAAAAAGGAAGAGGGGCTGACCAAGGGCAGAATGGATGGATGGATGGTATCCTTGAAGTGACTGACTTGATCTTGAAGGAGCTGGGGATGATGACTGCTGACAGGAAGCTCTAGCCTGGGCTAGTCCATGAGGTCACAAAGAGTTGGAAGCGACTGAACGCATAAACAACAAACATGGTGATTTCTCCTTTTTATGAAGAATAGATGAAGCATTTTCTGCAGTCTACTAAAACACTGTGATATTTTACTTTTGCTGTTTTTTGTTTGTTTGCTTTGTTTTTTGCAACCCCAACATTGAGCTAACATTTGGGGTCAGGACCTACAATTTAAGGAGTAGTGTGCTATAGCAGTAGTATATGTTGAATGTCCAGCATCAAAAGAAACCTGGGAGAGGGCTGGAACTAAAGCAAGAGGTGTAGTGACACCATAGGAAACATTCACCTCTCCAGGTGACCTTGTACTGCAGCTTCCATCAACATCTGCCAACGTAGCCAATGGTGAGGGATCAAGGGAACTGCAACTGAATATCTGGAGAACCATACATTGCACATCCTCGCTTTATAAATCCCCTGCAGTCTTTTTGCTCCAACCAACACTCAAGAATTCAATATCACGCTTCTCCTTTCCCCACTGAAAGGAAGACTCAACACAATTATAACACAAGAAAGTAAAAAAGAGGCACGAGAATGCAATAAAACATAATGTATTTAAATTTTAATTGATAGTAAAGGGGAAGCATCACATCAAAATTTTACAAACTCAACAAAAGTAGCATGTATTAAATGGTTTGAACTGCCCCTTTGGTTTTGTTATTTTTTAAATGTTATTAGCAAGAATGGAGCATGGCCTGCTCTCTTTCAAAGATCAGCATTTACCTGCCATCTTTCTTATTGTTAATAATAGTCATTGTAAACATCTATCTCTCTCAAAAACTTCATTTGTATATAAATCTCATACCGAAGTATTTCCTCTCCATATTTTAATATACATACATTCATCTCTAGCTAGGGTTGCCAGACTTTGCTAAGAGACTGGATCAGAAGAGGTGTCAACAAGTTCCGTCAACCTGACCATGGTAGGTCTCCTCCCTCCTCTACCAAAATCACCTTGGAGCTAACAATACATTTCTTTACAACATACACCAGTCTCCACAAGCCAGAAGGCAGCTATGTCGCTAAAGGTAGCTTTATGGAGCGACGGACAAGACATGCCATAATTCCATCTGATATAACTTTACAGCACCTCTCGGATCCTCTATTATCAACTTCTGCCAAAAGCGACCCATCGAATTGCCTTGCAAGACTGGTTAATCCCTAAAGAAGTATTCTTTCTAGAAACCCACGTGCCTTCTACTATGACTTTACAATGGAAATAGATCATACAGTCATAATGGAGGACCTTGCAATTCCTAGAGAGAACATACTAATCAAATCTGCAAATGTGGAAGTCCGACCGCACTTTCTCCCTGATCCAGGATCTGTTAACAAAGTTACAAGAACCCAGTCCTGTATCTCTTTAACAACTAAATCATTTGGGCTTTTTTGTGTAAAGCTGGCTCAGTAACACTTTCAGCCACTGGGGAGAACCTGAGGTCCAGTAGATGTTGTTGGATTCCAGTTCATACCTGTACATTTGTGGCCAGCAGTAAATGACGGTAGAAGCTACAGTCCAACAATATCTCAAGTGCCACAGCCTCCCCATTCCTGTCTTGAATGGTAAGACGACACTCCAGCAGAATGCCAGAGCCAGGATTATTTCAATTTAAGCAGGAATCAAACAAACTGAAGCAATGGTCTAATTCTCACTGAGGTGGTAAAGTCTGTATACCAGCAGCACCAGGTTGGAATCGCAATGACTGGATGATCTTCTCCAAAAATGAATAGATCCTTGAACATATAAAACTAGAGTCCAACGGGAAGGGTCCGGGCCTATTTCCCTCACCCTAAATTCTTAGGTTTCCATTTGCAGGAAGGTGTTGTGTTTTTGGTTTGATTGTATGGATGAATAATCAACCATACCAAACATCTACCTGCAACCATTACATGTACATTAAAGAAGTTGTACATTAAAGAAGTTGTGCTGGGAGATTCGAAAAAAAGTAGCCCCAAAAACTGACTTTGCCAAGGTCTGAGAGACAAGTTTACCTTCTCAGTGAGAACTAAGCCAACACTCCTCAGGTATATTCTGTCTCAGACTCTCCTGTAGCAGAGTTGCATTTAACACTTGACCCCTGGTCCAAAGAGTTGGAAGAACAGGAAAAGAGAATGTTTTGATAGCTACCAGGGTCAATACTGTTATTAGCACCTCCTTATGCTAGGAATCCTTTTGCAGAAAGGAACCTGTAGTGGGTCCCATGTTCTCCCATAGACTAGGATGGTCTTTGCATACACATCCACTCACTGCTTGCAAGGATCATACATTTTCCTGTACACCAGGTGTCAACAACTGCAGGGAGATTCTTTGCCAGTGTCTTATCTCTCTGTATAAAGATGCACAACTACAAATCACAAAATAAAGCCAGGCTCGATTGTTTTCCCTCTCTGGAACCAATTTTTTCTTCCTTTTTTTAGAAAAACACACGACAACAGGACAAAACGATGTCATATCCACAAGGTGGTCTGTGAGGAGTCTTGGCATTCTCCCTCTTCCTGTAGATGTGTTTCTTCAGGTCTAATAGATGAGGTACTTCATTTCAGAGTATATGAGTGGGAATATGACAGAACAAGCCCGGAACATCACTGCAACGCTTTTGAAAACTGCACGGGGCTTGTTGATCCAGGATTCTGACTTGAAGTTGAAATAAACAGCATAGAGAGCGACGGCAAAAAAGTGGCCTATCAGAACCATAGGCTTAGGTGACAGGCTGGAGGAAAGGATGGGGAGAGAAGGGGAAAACAGTGAGAAATGTGATCCCCCCCATTAGTGTTAGAAATTACACGATACATTTCTTGGCAAAAAATCCTAGACTTTTGCCATCTTCTCTCAGAGGTTTGGATTGACAAAGTGAGTCCTGAAGGTTGTGCATGAGCCTCAGACCACCAGTGCAATAAATGTCATGGCCCACACAACCTCCATAACCATTGCAAAACAGAGTACTTTTGCTCCTCCAATTCCACTCCCAAGCCTCCCATACACCCCAAAAACAAGGGGAAAGCCCCCCAAAGTGGCTGGAAGTGATGCAATGTTACTTCCAGTCACATCAGGTATGCAGGGAATGTACACAGTTTGGTTTGATGGACACTGAACTTGAGTTCTGGTATTGTAGTTCACCTACATCCAGAGAGCACTTTGGACTCAAACAATAATGGATCTGAACCATTATTGGCATGAATCCTCAATATGCCCAAATGTGAAAACTGGTGGAGTTTGGGGGGAAATAGACCTTGACATTTGGGAGTTGTAATTGCTGGGATTTATAGTTCACCTACAATCAAAGAGCACTCTGAACTCAGCCCACAATGGATCTGCACCAAACTTGGCACACTATCTACATGGCCAACATTGAATACTGATGGGGTTGGAGGGGGTTGTTTTTGAATTCTGGGAGTTGTAGTTCACCAACACCAAAAAGGAAGACAGATGGAGAGATCTTCAGCTTTTTCTGCCAAAAGGGTTCCTAAGACCATCAGAAATACGTGTTATCTGATGTTATTTGGTGACCCCTCTGAAACACCCACCCCCCCCCATGTGACCCCCTGGTTGAGAAACACTGTTTTACAAGATCAGTTTCAAAGAGGTTCCACAACTTCAAAGGGAATTCTGAACCAGGTTAGTTACTACCCATTTTTAACAACAACTTCAACTTACATTGAAAGCAATCCAACTGGTCCAGAAACACACTCGCCACCCAGCTTGAAGTAACAGAAGCAGGCTGTCCTTAACTGATTCAGAGAATCTGCCAAACACAGAAATGTTGTTTGATTTTTTTAAAAGCCAAAGAATTGAAGGATGATCTTGGACCATACAGTGTAGCCTGACCCCAATGTCTTTAGTATTTATAACAGACATCAAATGGAAGAGTGCCTATTATCCTGTCAACAATCTCTAGAAAAATGAGCCTGGACACAAGGACTTACCATATAATGATACTAATTCTATATAGCAAACTGTCACAGCTTGGATGTGGAAATCACACAATAAGAGCACTACATTGCTGTATCAATCAAAGAGGGCACACTAGTACTAAACATCAATGATTCTATATATCATCAAGGTATAACAAAACCAGTATGAAGCATGTGGACAGGGTTCCATCGTACCAGTTGACCTTAATCCACATGGAATGAGATGGAGCCATCCCTTTTGGGTTCCCAGCAGACCGCTAAAGCTCTGTTGTTCCACATAAGGATGATGACTCTATTTCAACTCTCTGTGACCTTAAAATGATTTTAGAGCATTGTTTTACTCTGATTTTCAAACACTTCTATCCATACTCTACCACCTCAGGAGTGCTGGTGCGTTGAGAGGTGATATACAAATAGACAAACCATATATTATTAAAAGATTTCATGGCCAGAATCACTGAGTTGTTGTAGTAAGTTTTTTGGGCTGTATGGCCATGTTCCAGAAGCATTCTCTCCTGATGTTTCGCCTGCATCTATGGCAAGCATCCTCAGAGGTTGTGAGGTCTATTGGAAACTAGGTTGTGAAGTCTGTTGGAATGTCCCACCCTGGACATTCACAGACATATAAACCTCATTTTCCTAGTTTCCAACAGACCTCACAACCTCTGAGGATGCCTGCCATAGATGTAGGTGAAACATCAGGAAAGAATGCTTCTGGAACATGGCCCTACAACCTGAAAAACGTACAACCACCCTGACAAACCATACTTCTGAAGATGCCCTTTTTTGGTAACACACTCACCATCTGCAGCAGAAAACAATTCATACAGAGCCTGAGCAAGAACATTGACAACAAAAGAGTAGGATTTTCTTCGTGTCCAGTAAAAGGTCTTTTTGGCCTGCAAAAGATAAAGAGTACTCGCTGGTAACAAAATACAATAAAGCTTGTTTATTTTATACAATGCAATACTACCCCAAAGCTTTTACAAGTTCATAATGTTTTAAGATGATCAATTAAATTACCAACAGTTCCAGAAATCAAAGAAATATGTTATGGGAAGTAGTCTCTTCACATCAGCTATCTATGTTACATCTATTGACACATGGAGCTGGATCAGATGATTGGTGCATCATCCCTAATTGTCATCCACCCCGTATTTCTTCAATTGTAAGAAGCCATCAATTGTAAGACGCACCCTAATTTCAGGTCAACTGCCACTAACCAAAATACATAAAATAAACCTTTAATTCTAAGATTTTTAGACATATCTATCTAGGAAAAAGTGAGTCTTAATAATGAAGAAATATAGTATATATAGAGAGAGAATGAATGAATAGCCATGCTGTCCATTTAAAAAGATATATGCATCGTGATGATTCTTTATTATGTCAATCAGACAATGCAAACATAATTACACTAGCTTTTGAAACACTTTTATCAGGCAAAGATAAAATAAAGAAAGACGCTATTACTGGAGTCACAGGTTACAGTCATCAATTTAATTACGATCTTTCATCATTCCAGTGCTAACAGTGAAGCACTTTAGCTTTATCAATATATTTATTTGAACTTGGCATAGTTTCTCCCAGCTGAGATGATTATCACAAGTGTAAGCCAATAGGTATATCATTACTTTTAGGCAACACATGAATGACAACAGTTAAAATCTCAAACAAGAACATATCGCAGGTAGGGGATGATGGTTTCCGCACATCATTGTCGTGCACAAAGCTAGATGATCTTTCTAAAGCTTTCATCATACCGACAAGACCATTTTCTTTTCTTTCTTTTTTTTGAAATAGATTTTTATTAAACAGTTTAAAACATATATACATGGAAAGGGGGGGGGGAATATTCAAGAAGAAGATAGAAAAGTAGGAAATACAGTCAATTAAAGAAAAAAGAGAAGAAAAATAAAACAGCAAGAAAAAAATACAAAAATAAAAATAAAATAAAATGGCTTCCATTCCAATCTCAGGATCTTGTTGTCTTTTATTTCATTATTACTTACCTCTTCTTTGTTTCTTTCTCTTTTCTATTCTTTTCATAGTCATAAAAGAGAGCCCAGTCTGTCTTTTTTATAGATTTCCCGGTATTTTTCTTTAACAAAAAAGTTAACTCATCTATGTCTCTTATTTCTTTTACCTTGTCCACCCACTCATCCACCGTGGAAATTTGTTCTTTCTTCCAAAACTTTGCAAAAATAATTCTAGCCGCTATTGTAACATAAGTCAGTAATTTATCTTCATTTTCATCCAATTGTAGTTGCGAGTTCATTCAGTCACTTCCAACTCTTCGTGACCTCATGGACCAGCCCACAACAGAGCTCCCTGTTGGCCATCACCACCCACAGCTCCTTCAAGGACAAGCTAGTCAGTTCAACAATACCATCCATCCATCTTGCTCTTGGTCGGCCACTCTTCCTTTTTCCTTCCATTTTCCTCAGCATCATTGTCTTCTCTAAGATTTCCTGTCTTCTCATGATGTGGCCAAAGTACTTCATCTTTGCCTCTAATATCCTTCCCTCCATGGACAGTCAGACATTACTTCCTGAAATATGGACTGGTTGGATCTTCTCGCGATCCAAGGCACTCTCAGAATTTTCCTCCAACCCCACAGTTCAAAAGCGTCTATCTTCCTTCGCTCAGCCTTCCTTATGGTCCAACTCTCACATCCATAGGTTACTACAGGGAATACCATTGCTTTAACTATGTGGATTTTCTTTGCCGGTGTGATGTCTCTACTCTTCACTAATTTGATCATTGCTCTCCTCCCAAGAAGTAAATGTCTTTTGGTTTCCTGGCCAGGTCTGTGTCTTCAGTAATCTTTGCACCTAGAAATACAGTCTGTCACTGCCTCCGCGTTTTCTCCCTCTATTTTCCAGTTATCAGTCAGTCTGGTTGCCATCATCTTGGTTGTGTGTGTGTGTGTGTTGAACTGCAATACAGCTTTTGCACTTTCTTCTTTCACCTTGGTTAGAAGGCTCCTCAGCTCCTCCTCGCTTTCAGGCATCAAAGTGGTATCATCTGCATATCTAAGGTTGTTAATGTTTCATCCAGCAATTTAAACTCCAGCCTTGGATTCATCAAGCCCCACATATTACATGATGTGTTCTGCATACAAGTTGAATAGGTTGGGTGAGAGTATACAACCCTGCCGTACGTCTTTCCCAATCTTGAATCAGTCTGTTCCACGGCCAGTTCTTACTGTTGCTACTTGGTCCTTATACAGATTCCTCAGGAGACAGACAAGGTGACTTGGTAACCCCATACCACCAAGAACTTGCCACAATTTATTATGATCCACACAGTCAAAGGCTTTGGAATGTTTTTTTCTGAAACTCCCTGCCTTTCTCCATTATCCAGTGGATATTGGCAATTTGGTCTCTTGTTCCTTTGCCTTTTTTAAACCCAGCTTACCTGTTCTTCCTCTGTCCATGAGGCAGGACATTGTGGACAAGCATACAGATGTGGAGTTGTTCGCTCTGCTCCACAGTCTCACAAGGTGGAAGATTCTTCTAGGTAGTGCCATTTTTCCAGGCTGTCTTTTGATCTGCCCACACCACTTCTGAATCTGTTCAGGGACTTCCAAATTGCCCGTTCTTGGTTTGCCCCTGAAGGAAGACCTTCATGGGGGGCCATCCAGTTGGAATTGCCTGGTTTAGCTGCCCATAGGGACACACTTGTTGGGGGAACGTTAAGAGGACTGGTGATTCTCATGAAGCTTTTCCTTGATTTGGGTCTACTGGGAGGAGGCTGATAGCCATGCAATGGATGGCTTTCACAATGTTCAACCTTATTTCTCTCACAGTTAGCAGAAACTTCCCGTTACACATTTGGGGGGCAATGCCAGCTAGCTTGTAAAGCAGTGGTTTTCTACCTGTGGGCTCCCAGATATTTTGGCCTTCAACTCCGAGAAATCCTGATAACTGGTAAACTGGCTGGGTTTTCTGGGAGTTGTAGGCCAAAACACCTAGGGACCCACAGATTGAGAACCACTGTTGCAGAGTTTATTACAAACTATTGGAATTTACTATTATAGAAATCCCCAAATAGAGGGATTTGACATGAAAAGTTTCTGAATGCACGATTAATGTTGGTGCATCTGAAGTATAGCCACTATGAATTGCTATAAGCTTCAACTAGTATGTTTTGGCATACACGTGTAAGAGCAAACACTAAATGTTTCACAGCAGATACTGGGTGTGGGTCCCATTTTATATACAACACATTCTTGATCTCCACAGATGCAAATGTTATCATTAGATTTCTCAACAGAAGAATAGGTGTGGCCCAATGTTTCTTCATAATTCGCTAAAAGACTCTTTGAGCAATAAGCTGATCTACTTCTGCGTCTGTCAAAAGAATACCAACCCAGATTGATTCTAGTATGGAAACAGAGGTACTTTCAGGTGCATAAGAATTAAACTACACAGGTGATCACAATAGGGAATAGTGACTATTACAGCTAAGTTTCAAAAATAAATTGGTTAGCTCAAAAATGTAATCAGAGATGTGTGCAAATGTGTATAGAGGAGAGGGGGCATATATGAATTATTATAATTTAGTTAATGGAGATAATTTTAATATTTGTTTCATGTGCTCAATATCCATCTCCCAATAGAGAAAAATAACTCCAAAGGGCATATTCACTAGAAGGAAAAGGGTTGAGAGATCACAGGATCTGTGCGGACTACATTGGCCTAGATTCTGAATGGCAAGCCTTAAAGTTAAGCAGATTCATGGTTTTGGAATTGCTGAGGGAAGAGAGCAAGAAATGGAGAAGGCATTCAAAGGACAAGATGGAAAGAAGCAAAGTTAGGCTGCTTTGTTTGCAACACGAAAAAAAAGCATGAAGGAAAAGGGGGAATGTGCAAGAGGCTGCTTGCAAGATGCCCTCGATAATACAAGGCTCAGTACCTGGCACACTTCTTCTCATAGATCATTATCTTATTTTATAGACTAGCTCTATTAAACAAACAGACCTAGATGTGTTCCTTTCGGGGTTGATCTAGGGCAGTAGTTCCCAACCTTTTTTTGACCCGGGACCACTTTGACCAGGGACCACTCTCCAACACTACTACCAAAAGGGTCACAAATCAGTTTTTGGTCAACTTTAGATTTGGTTCGGTTATTTGGGGTGCTGATTCAGAAAACTACATTGGATAGACTCATCAGCTCTAATTTCTGATACAGAACATATGCCATCTGGTAGTCACCATCTGCTTGCACACAGAAAACCATATTTAATAATGTAGAGTTGATGTAGTCTATTCTATGCAATTTTCTGAATCAGCACCCCAAATAACCACAGAAACAGGCCTAAAAACGAAGACACCAAGGCACCCCCGACTTCCAGGCACCACATAGAATGGCTCCACGCAGGGGGAGGGAGGAGGAGGAGAATCAGCAGTCAGGAGGCCTGTTGTCGTGCCTTTTGTGGGTAGTCAGCCTCTCCCCTCCAGACATCCCCGGTGCCTCGGCACTTGAAGAGGGTTTTGTGAGACCAGTCGCTCTTGTTGCAAAGGTGTAGTAATGGTGAGGCCACGGACCGTATTTTAGTTCTTGGGGACCACTGGTGGTCCACGGACCACAGGTTGGGCACCACTGCTCTTGGAGATGTGCTTTAAATCAAGATTTAAAGACAGAATGAACCTTTTCTAAGGGAAACACACATGTACCTTTAGAAAAGAAGCAAACAGAATATGTCGTGCCATGAGCAGGGAAAATTGCAAAATAGAAGCCGATACTTCCTGTATGTCAATCAAAGACGGCATCTGCCCACTTAACTGCTTGGCTGCACCTGACTGTCACTTCCTTTCTTCAAAGCCATCCAACTTCTCTGCATGGAATGAGTATTTTCAAAATAGCATCCCAAAGTTTATTCCATGCTTTTGAGCTCCAAACTTAATGGACTTACAAGATACAATTTTAATTGTAAATTTAGAGTTATGTTTATCTTTCTTCATACTAATGCGCTGTCTCTGATTGTTTTTTGTTTTTGTTTTTTACAGCACTGGCTGCTGCTCCAGAGACCGGTTCTGAGTTTCACTTTTGCTTGAAGTAATCAATATTAGCTTGCCTTTCAGGACTGAGTCATTCCCATTCCAATATCAGATTGTGCAGACTCCCACCTCAACCAGAGAGGATGGGAACACCATAATAATTCCCAGTGGCCATTCACAAAATTAAATTCTTTACTCTTTATTTGTTAAAAAGGTTAATATTATCAATTTGTGAATGACAACTAGGTTATTGTTGTTTTATATTTTAAAAATATAGCATTTTGGAATCCTTTCAGATAGATGTAGGACAATTTACTACTTTTAAAAAAGAAAGAAATGACTAAGCAGCTCCCTGAGGCAATGTGAAAAGTAACCAAACCTGAAAAGGGAGTAAAAATACAAAAAGCATCAGGAAGAAAAACCAAAAAAACCTGTTCTACCTGCAAAACAGCAGAGTCCTCATATAAATCTGGAACAGCTTGCAGCAAGTGCCTCCATATCTTGATGTCATTAAATACAACGCTCATTCCTCCACCTGTTAGGGGGTGTCTCATGTTGTAAGCATCTCCCAGGAGCATCACTCCTGAAAGGATAAGAATCAGTCATAACTGTACAGGCTTTGCATATTGTAATTCTAATTTTAAGAACCTTACTCTTCAAATTTTAAACAGGTTGTGCACACACTGGACTTCATTTTTAACACGATAAGCACAGGCAAATCAGCCGTCTCAGTTTCAACAACATCTATAGAGCTAAGCCAAATTTGTGCAGTTGAGCCAAAATTTCCCACCTAGAACTACCTTTTGTCAGTTGTGGCCAAATGGGGAGTAGTAATCTGAAGACTGAATGGAGGAGCTGGTTACATATACTACTCATAAATTCAAGTAGGAGTGGCGCAGTCTCAGTCAGAGTAGCAGTGATAGTTGTTATCAACTGATGTCACTTTGACTTCAATTTAGAACAACCCTATGAGTAAGAGAGCTCCAAAATACCCTGTTATTAGTGGCCGTGTTCAAGTCTTACAGAGAAGTAGCTTCCTTTAATTGGTCACCACAGTTTTGCTTTGTCTTTCTTCCCATTTTCATACTGCCTTATTTGCCAGCATTGCTGTCCTTTCCTAGCAGTTCATGTCATCTTATGATGTGCCCAAAGTACGACAGCATCCATTGATTCATTTTAACTGCAGGTGCCATTTGCTCTACAGTCAATCTACCTTATATATGCATGTATAAGTCTAGAAGTTTTAGTCAAGCAATCAACCACAAAAGCATGGGTCGACTTATCCATGGGTCGATATGAGTACTGTACCTTAATTCTTATCACAAAAGGAACCATTTCTCTAAATAAAGTGGCAAAACGCAAGATACTGAGATTTTTCTCCTATCCTGGAGTTTTTTTAAAAAAACTCACACTATTCTCTCTGCAATGCACCCCTTCTGACAATTTTGAATGCATGAGTGAGGAAATGGTGGTGTCAGGCAAAAGTGGCAGTCCCTCTGAGGCAGCAATAGTGCTTTGCCCATGACTTATCCACTTGGCATATAAAAATCCTTAATTTTGGCCAGCATGTACCTTTCACTCATACATGAGGCAGAGGTATACCTGAGTATATATGGTAGCTGACTTTTTAGGCATTCATGATGTCTTATAGAATCAGAGAGTTGGAAGAGACCTCGTGGGCCATCCAGTCCAACCCCCTGTCAAGAAGCAGAAAAATCACATTCAGAGCACCCCCGACAGATGGCCATCCAGTCTCTGCTTTAAAGCCTCCAAAGGAGGAACCTCCACCACACTCTGGGGCAGAGAGTTCCACTGCTAAACAGCTCTCACTGTTAGGAAGTTCTTCCTAATGTTCAGGTGGAATTTCCTTTCCTGTAGTTTGAAGCCATTGTTCCACATCCTAGTCTCCAGGGCAGCAGAAAACAAGCTTGCTCCCTCCTCCCCATGATTTCCCCTCACATCTTGATATGTGGCCTTCGTGCCTCCTTCTCAACTATCTCTTCTGTAAGCTAAACACGCCCAGCTCTTTCAGCTGCTCCTCATAGGGCTTGTTCTCCAGACCTTTGATCATTTTAGACACCCTTCTCTGGACATATTCCAGCTTGTTAACATCTCCCTTAAATTGCAGTGCCGAGAATTGGACATAGTATTCCAAGTGTGGTCTGACCGAGGCGAAATAGAAGGGTAGCATGACTTCCCTGGATCTAGTCACTAGATTCTATGATTCTAAGGCAGATTCAAGTCTATCTTGCACAGTTACTGTCAGTAATAAACATTGTCATCACAGGAAAAATGAAATCACACATTATAGACCATGTAGGTTTCCCATGAATGGTGTGGCATGGGAAAAATAGTATTCTCTGTTCTTCAAAGAAAAATAGTAAAAGAAAATCCCACTGGGCATGTCAAAACCTTTCAAGAAGTCGGATCTTAAGTCTCCAAATTTTAATGTCTATTTTTGGCTCACAAACCTGCTTTGTTCACAGGTGTAGGAGGCAAGAAGCTTGCAGGCATAGACCTCAAGCGATCGTTCTGTACGGCTATTAGGAAAGGTTCCTGTAGATGCTCTGCAAGACAAAGAAACAAAAAGAGTGTCACAATTATTTCCAAAGTGTTTATATTTTGATCATGACTCGGAAACTAAACCACCTAGAACAGAGATGGGTCTTTCCAGCCACTGTCAGACTGCAACTCTGAGCAGTTCAAGACAACATAGCCAACAGTAACAGATATCTGAAACAATAATATTTGGAGGGTCATACTTTGCCCAGTACCAACTCAGAGCCACCATTAGCTTCCAACGGCATGAGAGAAGATGGCTAGGCCCCTATATCTCAGACAAAGCAGAGGCGGATTTCTGGATGAATATTACCTGAGAATAGTTAATTGGCTTTCTTTCTTTGTAAGTTATTACCCCCTCCCAAATGATATACATCTATAGATAGTATGACTATGGAAAATGTTTTAAGGCAACACCACAGATTAAAGCTACCAGGAAATGTAAAAGGGTATTACTAAAAAAACCACACAGAGGAAGATCAAGTAAAAGATCACACTATTAAATGGGCAGAAAACATTGGACATAATGTTGAAATGAGTATATGGAAATGCATTTGGGAAAGGGGGATAAAATTCACCTGCAGCTATGGCCTTCATGATAATTTTTATAAGATAATGTAATTTTGGTATATGACACCAGAACAATTAAGCTAAAATCCAACCTAAGAGAAGGAATATTTGATTTTAATATGACGACTGACCACCGTAGTTTTAAATATATTGTTATTTTAAATGTGTTACTGTAATTGTGAACTATGATATTTTACTGATTGTATGTGTTTTTATGGTTGGAAACCAGGCTGAGTCCCTCAATGAGGTGAGAAGGTCGGTATAGAAAACTTTGAAATAATAATAAATAAATAATAATATTTATTTATTTATTTCACATATTTATATTCCGCCCTTCTCCCCACAAGGGGGACTCAGCGCGGCCGATATTTGTTGGAAATGTAGCGGTTGGCTCCTTTACCATATGTGGTGGCTGTGCCCACAAACTATAAAATATTGGACAAATTACACAAAATAATGGAAAATATATTAAACATCTAAATTATTTAAAGCCTGAAACCTTTCTATTAGGCCTCATTCATTAACAAATTTCAAAAGAAGATGAGATAAGTTTTCAACGCATGGTATCAGCAGCCAGGATATTATTTGCAAAATATTGGAGACAACAGACAATGTCCACTGTGAAAGAATGGAAAACGAAGCCATCTTTCGGGGATGCTTTGAACACAATTTTCCTGCTTCTTGGCAGGGGTTGGACTGGATGGCCCACGGGGTCTCTTCCAACTCTATGATTCTATGAACTCTCCGAAATGGACACGCTGTCCAGAAGGGCTACAGAATCAAGATGCAAATACTTTCAAAAAAGATTGGGAACCATTAACTGTCTTGATAAGAAGTTATATAACAAAAATAATATTTTTTTAATTATGAAGAGAACAGAGAGACAGGAGAGGAAGCATTAGTTAGGGATTTCTATTTTCCATTTCTCAAGTTTTTTATCTCCTTTGTTTCAAAACACTGTATACCCATTTTCCATTATTTTGTTTTAGATTAGAAAATAAATGTTCTCTCTTTTGTTTGCTTTTTCTCTTTTTTCTCTTGACATCAAAGAAAATCAGACAGCAATGGAAGACGAATATGTAAGATTTTTAAAATCCCCCTGTTCTATATCCAGTCTTGTACCCCTTCACATTCCTTATATATTTGCAATAAAAATTACACAGGGAGAAAAAGAATGCATTTCAGGAGATAATTCAGCAGATAATTGCACAGTACTATCTTTTCACGCACATATTCTTACCTGGTAGCTGTGGATAAACGTTCTCGATCATATATTCTTTAAGGTTCTTTGGCATATCACCTTGAATGTCAACAAGGACCCGGGTTTCGTTGGAAGAAATCTGGTAGACAAGTACTGGACTAGGACTGCCCATGACCAGTTCAGCATAGTTGGCTTTAAACTGAGGTGAATTCTTTGTAAAATGAAGAAAAAAGAATCAAAGGTGCTGTACAACTGACTGTTTGCATTCCCCAATCTGCCATATTGAATAGCACTCTGTGACATGCTAGCACAAAATCACATTTCCCTAAGTGTATATAGACAGCAAGAGTGTCTGTTGTGAGGATGAGTAAGTACTATTAGAGCATCTAAAACCTTTCTATGAATGCCAGAAATATCATCAGCTTTAAAACAGGCATTCTGATTTATCTACTTTAAACACCCAAACTGGGAAATGGTACAATTAGCTTTTTAAGGAAATGCTTACCTTCAAAATGCATCCTACAAAATGAGATCGAACTCTAACTTTGCTAGAGACGAAATTTTTCCTAAATTTGGAAAAGACACCATCAGCCACAAAAGTAAGGGGTGCATGGAGCTCCTATAACACAAAATGATTGGAACAAGAAATAAATCATGTCAAATCGCACTACGGAGCATGCCCTGAAAATATCCCAGATCAATTGAAGTTTTCTACACCATTTTAAAAGCTTGGCAGCATATTCAAAAGCATATTCTCATTCTGAGCGGTAATTTGCCATGTTTCCAGATATATATGTAACGGCACTCCATACTGTCATGCTGGCCACAAGGCCTTGGAGGTGTCTATGGACAACGCCGGCTCTTTGGCTTAAAAATGGAGATGAGCACCAACCCCCAGAGTCGGAGTCGACTAGACTTAATGTCAAGGAGAAACCTTCACCTTTTTTATGGAAACATGGTGTGTGTGTGTGTGTATATATGTATATGTGTGTGTGTGTGTGTGTGTATGTGTATGTATATGTGTGTATGTATATGTGTGTGTGTGTGTGTGTGTGTGTATGGGAAGAAAAATATTACTATTCTTCCAGTCACAATACTATGAGTCTAAAACCCCAAGTCATACCATTTGCTGCACCAACCCAATGCATCAGGATGGTGACATTTTGATATATTCTGAGTATATGCATGACTGTAATTAAAACTTGCATACCAATCAGTTAAAAATACATGTAGTTCCTGAAACAGTGATACCCTTTGTCATATATTCATATTGTACTTGACTTTAAGGGCATCAAACCTGATTTCAGTCTAACCTAAAGTTACTAACCCTGCTTATTGAAAGATTTGCAGAAATCTGAACATGTCTGTCAAGAACACGTGCTTGTTGTCTGTTACAACCAAACAGTGCATTACATACAAAATAGATCTTTGGGTTGTTGTAGGTTTTTTCGGGCTATATGGCCATGGTCTAGAGGCATTCTCTCCTGACGTTTTACCTGCATCTACGGCAAGCATCCTATGGCAAGGATGCTTGCCATAGATGCAGGCGAAACGTCAGGAGGGAATGCCTCTAGACCAGGGGTCCTCAAACTTTTTAAATAGAGGACCAGGTCACAGTCCCTCAAACTGTTGGAGGGCCGGATTATAATTTGAAAAAAACATGAATGCATTCCTATGCACACTGCACATATCTTATTTGTAGTGCAAAACCCACTTAAAAACAATACAATAATTAAAATYAAGAACAATTTTAACAATTTTAAGTCAAAAATACACTTATTAGTATTTCAATGMGAAGTGTGGGCCTGCTTTTGGCTGATGAGATAGGATTATTGTTGTTGTTGTTGTGTGCTTTCAAGTCATTACAGACTTAGGTTGACCCTGACCYAGGGCCAGGTAAATGACCTTCGAGGGCCGCATACGGCCCCCGGGCCTTAGTTTGAGGACCCCTGCTCTAGACCATGGCAATATAGCCCGAAAAAACCTACAGCAACCCAGTGATTCCGGCCATGAAAGCCTTCGACAATACATTAAAATAGATCTTAGTTTTCTACTAAGGGGCCATTTGGCTCTCTTCCAAAATCTATTTCATTTATGTACATTCATAACTAAAAATGATAAAACTACAGTCTGAGGAACTGTGACATATTCTGGAAAATGAATGCACATAAAGTCATAATTTGATCATGGCTGTAAGCCTAACGCTATTATAAAATGGATTTTAATTAATTTGACGATGAGACATTTAGTATAAAATATGTATCCTTCATACTTAATAAATGGTATGCTCATTTATCAAGACAACAACATTTAAGCGTATTCTCTTAAGCGTAAGTCTCATGCAAGTACACAGATAAACAGACAAAACTGATAACTGACTCATACAACAGACTAGCATCAAAAACACAGAGAATGTGCATTGTCTTTCTTCGCAATTTAATTTTTCATCAAAGATTTCATTGAGCTCGTTCTGAAAAGTGGTTAAAACAAATGCATAACATGCAATACTTGGGCAGCTTGCTCCTAGAGGTACTACATAAGCGAGAAAGGAAGGTCAAGGAACACCTGCAGAAAACTTTGTTTTGGTTGGTGAAATTAAATGTTCCTCAGAGAGAAGGCCGACTACTTTAACCCAGAGTAGGACTATATCAGAAAAAGATAGAAAATTTGACCAGTTCTCTAGAAATTCTTGAGCTTCACCTTTGTGTCTCCAGTTTCCTTGTCTTTATACACAACTCCAATAACGCAGTCATCTTCTTCAAGTAACTGTATTACTGTCCCTTCAATGAATTTTGTGCTGGAAAAAAGCATATTTTTAAACAATTATATACGCATTTACTCAAAATACTTTGGTTCATATCCCATGAAGTTATCACTCAAGCTGACATTTTTGTTAAGCAGGGAGATCCTAACCCTCCTTTTCCCATCAGGAACAAAAGGTGAAACAAGATTGCATAGATTATGTCCTCAATGGAAACCTCCTTCCTTCTGGCAGAAGCCACTCCATGATAGTGTATAGAGCCTTCTGCCACCATTTTAGCATTCAATGAAGGAACAGATACCTTGCTCTTATAACGCTAACTTGCCATCATCATGTTAAGTCTCGATATTGTAAGGAAGCCATTCTTACTTGGGTTCTGCCATGGCTGCCTTTCGAAGGCCCATAATGAAGCGCCCATGATGAAATGCTTTTCCACTTTGTATTCGGCCATCTGCTGTAGATGGATAAGGAATTTCAACCTCCGTCTTGCTTTGGTGGTCATGCACTATGTAACCATTTATTACACGGCAGTCAATTCCTTCCACTGCCTCTGCAAAATAAGGATCAGTACATTGGTAAAAGAAAGAATAAAGAACACAGGACATATGAATGTTATGATGAAGTGGGACTTTGCTCTGGGATCCCTGTTATTTTAAGATTTGGGAAAATGAAAACTCGGGATTATTTGCTGGAAAAGAAGAAAAAGAAATATATAGTTATACTGTGATTTATTCTCTCTTTATGAATGTTTGTTTTGGATACAGAGTTTTGGTCATATGGTAGTATGTTTATGTTTATCATTCTATCTTGGTATTAAAAATAATCTAATAAGATGTTCAATGTATTGTCGAAGGCTTTCATGGCTGGAATCACTGGGTTGTTGTAGGTTTTTGGACTATATGGCCATGTTCTAGAGGCATTCTCTTCTAACATTTCGCCTGCATCTATGGCAAACATCCTCAGAGGTAGTGAGGCCTCACTACCTCTGAGGATGCTTGCCATAGATGCAGGTGAAACATCATGAGAGAATGCCTCTAGAACATGGCCATATAGCCCAAAAAACCTACAACAACCCAATCTAATAAGATTTTAATGTTTTTTAATAAAATAAAATATTTAACATGGTTCACAAAGAGACATCTAAAGTAGGGCTGACACTCCCACAGATAGCATGACTGTCTTGCTTCAGGGGACAGAACTGAAAATCATGCCACCTTCCCTCCATACCCAGAAGTACCACGTCAACAGTGCATTGTTGTCCTCCTATGACAAATGCTGCAACCATGAAGTGGCTGCTGCCCTCCCCACCCAGAAAAGTCAGATATTAGCAATCATCTGTAATATAGGAATTACATGTTTCTGGGGACGCCACGGCTCTGAGGAAGAACCCTATCAAAATCAGGTATCTGGCTAGCTCCCCTATTTGTCTCAAGGCGTGACTTCTAATAGATATGTCCAATGGTGAATTAAAAAATTGACAACACATAACACGGTTGGCAATGTGCCTTGCAGGAAATCACAACACTTTGCATTGTTGTTGACCTACTATGAGAATGTATACACACATCAAGTCTATAAGGGAAGACAATTGAGCTTCTCATTAGCATCAGAACATGCTGACAAAGATTCTTTATCACAATGATAGGTGGCTGAGACTTCCCTCTGCATGTAACAATTTTCCTTCCTTGATTCCCTGAACTTTGGTTGTTCCTCAAGAGCAAGCAAAGCAAGACCAGGCTCACCCTTGCAGCTGACCTTTTTAAAGTAGGGGGTCCTGTGGTTTAGCTATTAATAGGTTTTTATTCGGTTTTAAGGGTTTTAACTGTTTAGTTTTATGACCATTAATATTTAATTCCTTTTTTATGTTTTAATGATTTTCAGGTTTTAAATTGTATCGCTTTTACTGTGCGTCTCTTTTTTGAAGAGAGAAACCAAGATATAAGTAAAAATGACAATAATAATGATCTGTGGCTGAAGTTGGAGACCCTAAGGTTATCATGGGGTTTTCTTGGCAGAATCTGTTCAGAAGGTGTCTGTCCTTTTAAAAAAGCTAAAATAAGCACTAACTTCCCTCTACTCTCTCTACTAGAATGTTGTTTCTGGCCTTTCCGAATGAAGCAATGCTGACACTTTTGCCTCTGTATGGAACTGATTCTGCTGATTCGCAAAGCCTTGTTAATTCCCCTGATCTCACAAATGTGTATTGCTTTAAAACAAAGCAGTGAACCTTTCTAGTAATTTCCTTAATCCAGTACTAAACAATATATGGGAAGTCTGGGATTGGCCCAGAGAAAGGTCTTACACCTACACTACAATCTGAGAACATCAGCCAATGGTACTGCTGTAGGCCTGGAAAGCTCCACAAATAATATAGGTTGCACTCATATGCTTGAGCCTAAAACCTCAAAACAGGCAGTATAGGATACTCGCGGAGATTTGGGGTGAAGTCTATGGAGTGTGGAGAAGAGCAGACTACAGACTAATTACTACAATGCAGCCTGAGCCCAGCCACATGCACAATGGAGAACCTCCTTATAGTGACAACAGAGGCACTTCAAATGGCCAGCTTCTGGTCAAAGGAAATTTAGTATAATGCCATTTTTTTAATCTTTGTGTGTGGTTTTTCTATACATTACAGCTGTAGTCTCAATTCGCTTCTGACACGATAAATAAATAAGCAGGAGCTGTTTGACAGGGGAATAGATTAGCTCAGAAACTCTCCTATGAACATTTTTAAAACAGAGGCCAAAGGGGTACCTATTAGTCACGGGCCTGAAATTTGTCTCATCCATTTGAGTCATGTTTCTATTTTGTTCCATCCATTTGAATGGCACAAAATGGGAAGGCTCCTCCTGGAATGAAAATAGACTCAAAACGAAAGGCAGACAAGAGCGGGTACCGGCTCCAAGCCTGCTTTTCGGATTGACTTCCACGCGCGTAGACCCAAAGCACTAGGGCCTGGCAGAGCCTGCAGCTGAGCGCTGAGGAAGGAGCGATCCTTCCTTGGCACTCGGCTGCAGGCACCCCAGTGCTGTGGGTCTACACACCTGGGCCTTATAGGGCCTGCAGCCGAGCACCAGAGCGCCTGCAGCTGAGCGTCAAGTAAGGAGTGCTCCTTACTCGGCACTTGGCTACAGGCCGTGCCAGGCCCGGGCATGTAGGCCCAAAGCCTGCACCCGGAGGCCTGGGTGTTTTGGGCCTACTGGTGAACCCCCCCCCCCCCCGAATAATGGGCTGAAATAAAACTGATTTTTTTGACCCCGAAAACATAAAATGAATATCTGACCTCCTGATTTTGGGAGGCTCAGTCAAAATGGATCGGGGCCCCTACTGAAAGCCAGGACGTGAAACGGATGAAGCTAAGCCCTGAATGCACATGACTAGTACCTATCACAAATATTTCAAATGCAAATAGCTGGTTGGACTTGATGGTCCTTTATGTCCTTTGAATTATGTGATTCTATGAACTTTCTGAGTTATACTCTGTTTCTTCACTTGTGGACGTAGAAGCCTTCCATGATTTATTGTTTTCTCTGTGTATATGTGTGTCCTCTTTTCTTTTCCCAACTTGAATATCAATTGGGACGAAGAGTAGAGGTTAAGTTGTACAGACAATTCAGTTTATAAGTCAACCCTCACAAACAGCATATACGTGGTGGGTACTTTATAAGAAAAAGCAAAAATATAATAATACTATTTTTTGAAAAGTGGGGCAAAAGGTATATCAACACAAGATTTATGAATCAAAGATTTCTGTTTTATAGACAGTAACATACCTTCTAGGCCCAGGTCTTTCAGAGCATTACATCCCCCAGGCTGTAACAGTTCTCCAACTATCCTGTCAGGTTCTTTCAGATCCCTCTCAATGATGGCCACTTTTCTTCCATCTCTTGCAAGCACTGCTGCCAAAGCAGAGCCAAGCACACCCGACCCAATGATGATGATCTCTGGATCATACTGAGAGGACAATGTTGAGGCTGTAGCAGTCTCACTTGTGGTTTCAGCTGAGATACTGGCCCCTCTTCTATCCTGGGGAAAGATGACATCAAAAACAAGTCAAAAACTAACTCATGTAGATTTATCACATCTTTAGAGGCATTTTCTTCCAATTTAATACTTTAGTTTAAAAAACAAACACAAAAGAGCAGCAGACCACGAGAAGAATTCTGAGTGCATTTTGTTTCAATCCCCTCCTTTCTTTTTTATGCTGCAAAGGAATATCATAGCTATTTTTACAGATTACTTCATCAGACACAAAGTCCTATCTTTCCATCTTTTCAGTCAGTTTTTGTAGTTGGTAATCACTTCATTAGGCATAAAAGGTGCCACAAGACTTAAATGTTTTCCCTGTAACAGACTAATACAAATACAAATGGTAACAGAACAAAGGCAACTTCTGAATATAGCCACCACATACTTAGCCTGGAGTTATATATGCCCATGTTGTGAGTGCACAACAGTTCAAGTTTACAATGTAGAAAGGGCCTCTTGGCACCAATTTAATAGCCCTGGCTCAATGCTATGGAATCCTAGGAGCTCTCTTTATGAGCTTTGTATGAGTTCTATGAGCTCTTTCACCTTCTCTACCAAAGAGAGCTGGTGCCTCCCCAAACTACAAATCCCAGGATTCCATACACTGACAAATGGTATTCTCAGTGTTATCAAACAGCATAAATTCTTACAGTATAGGTGCATTACACGTGATTCCAAAGTCTTTGGGCGAATCTACAATGGAATTAATGCAGTATGACATCACTTTCCTTGCTATGGCTCAATGCTATGGATTCGTGGGGGCAGTAGTTTACAAGTAATTACAAGTCACTTTAGCCATCTCTCCAAGAGTGCTATGCCACATCAAACTACTACTCCCAGGATTGCATAGTACTGAGTCATGGATATTAAAAGTGATGTAGATTCACAATAGGAAGGTTACTCTGGGGTCCCCAAAATCTACTTAGAGCTGCAAAAGGGAACCACAAACAAATCTCATGAAAAAACTCCCCTAACTTACTGAATGTAATTATGGGGAATAAATATTTCAAAGGCAATCACACCCAAAAATAGGATTTAGAGTCTGTGCCCACTTTCAATCCTGCAGCTGCCTTCTGCAGGATTCTGGGGCTTGTAGTTTAGGGAGGGGCTTTTCCCATTCTCACTAAACTACAAGCCCCAAGTCAGTAATAAACAACGTTTGAAAGGGAGACCAGTTGGTGTAGGTTACATTTCAGGGGAAGGAGTTAGGAAACAACTGCTGCTTCTCCTCTCTCTCGGGCTTCTTCCCCACCTCCCAAGTTTTCCCTTTGGCTTCATAGACATCCTAGAAGCCCTCATTAGCCATGGGGCAAGGATGCAAAAAATGTTTTAAAAGCAAGTAGCTTCCTTCTTTATCAACGTTCCCCATGGCACTTAAATTACCGTTTTCATGAATGACTTTCCAATAACTTTGAAGCATAGGTTATTTTTATTGCCAGTGTGAGAGAGTTTATTTCCAGTGTGAGAGAGTATATCAGATTATAGAAAAATATTTAGACAAAGAATGACACTGGACATACATACATACAGATTCTATGCAACTACATTGGATTTACAATTACATGGCTAACAAACAAGGGGGGATTACATTTTCACTCAACATTCACGCCACATGTACACACATACATCCTCAGGCATTCAAATATTGCCACATCATTTTCTCCCTCCTTGGAGAAGCGCCTGTTAGGTCAGACCCTGCTTTCCTGCAGCCTGTCAATGCATAGCTCCATAACTTCCATAACACCCTAACTTCAAAATGCCAAAACGTCTTCCCTAAGAATAATGCCAAGGACCAGATTTCTGTTTTCCATACAGCAGAACCGGATTCCCTGCACAAAATCCAAGGCTCCAAAAGCACACTTTTTCCTCTTCCCTTGAGAAAGAAGCCCCAAGGTAACCAGGCTGTTGATCTTCTTGATTGGTGTTGATCTTATGTTGACTTCCTTCTTAACCTTGTAAACATTTCTGTTATCACTGTCCCAATTCTTACCAGACTTTACTTTTCAAATCTTATTAACAGGTTTTAATCACAGTCCAGAAAGCAGGTAGTTAGTCATTGCAGGCCTTAATGTTATACTGGTGTCTCCAAAATTATTAGCTCCATCCACACATCCTTCAATTCTTCCATTCATTCCCATACATCATTATATCAAATTCACATTTATCAAATCTGCAATGATATTTTTGTGACACCATAATACTCGATAGTAATGTGCACCCTAATTTTGGCAGTGTGTTTTAGCTAAAAAAGATGCACATTTGACTCAAGTAAATATGGTGTATGTCTAGAAACTTTAGTCAAAAAATCAGCACAAAAACAGTGGTTGAATTATTTATGGGTCAATGTGAGAACTGTATTTTAATTCATACTTTTGGTTAGTCAAGACACAGGTTAATGACATCAGCTACTGAGGTCTTCAGACAGCATGGTGGCATCAGTAGATATTTGTGAAAGATCTCCTCGATCCACATCTGCCCATGGCAACATCCTGAAGCTTCTCCCACCCTTCCTGCTCCCCACTAGCAATTGAATGGAAGTGAAGAAAGCTATCACAGTTCAGCAGTGGGTGGTAACCAGAAGCAACAATGGGGTCCAAAATGCTGGATTCTTATGCTATACAGGACCTCAACCTAACAAATAAGACACATTGGACACAATGGGATTTATTTCCAAGCAAAGATGTAAAATGAAGGTACGTAGCTGCAGTGAGTGTGGGGTGGATAAACCTCTCTCAACCGTGGCAAATTATTCTAAACCCAAAATCACACTAAAATGTGGTTGGATTTTTCCTTCCCATCAAGGTGTCTGGATGTTTGATCAAAAAGTAGTCAATAGACATTTTTTAAAGAATGTGAACCGTTTATTTCACATATAACAAAATATGTAAAATGCTAGCAAGTCTTGTAATTAAACAGAAGGCAGCACAGAGAAGCCATTTAAAGTACCGTATATTCCGGCATATAAGACGACTGGGCGTATAAGACGACCCCCAACTTTTCCAGTTAAAATATAGAGTTAAGACGACTCCCATGCATAAGACTACACCTGCGTATAAGACGGCCCCTGACTTTTGAGAAGATTTTCTTGGGTTAAAAAGTAGTCTTATACGCCAGAATATACTGTAAGTAGTTTTTCAGAATGATAACAATATCTTCATATGTCTCTTAGGGAAGTGGAAAGTCAATTTTAATATTCTTTTGTTTGTTAGTAAAAGAAGGGGGTTAGTTTTAAATATTATAGTACCATATGTGAAAAAAATGTATTCTACTCACATTGTCATGAATTACTTTTCAATGACTTTAAAGCATAGGATCTTTTTATTGCAATTTCCAGTGTGAGAGGGTATATGAGATTACAGAAAAAACATTTAGACATACAGAAATACAGATTATATGCAACTACAATTTACAATTACATGACTAACAAACAAACAAAGGGGAATTGCATTTTCACTAAACATTCACACGACGTGTATACACATTCATCCTCCTGGATTCAAATATTACCATATCATTTTCTCCCTCCTTGGAGAAGCACCTGTTAGGCCAGACCCTGCTTCCCTGTAGCCTTCCAATGCATAATTCCAAAACTGCCATAATACCAAAACTTCTTCCCTAAGAACTTATCTTTGTTTTCCATACAGCAGAACCTGACTCCCTGCACAAAACCTAAGACTCCAAAAGCACACTTCTTCCTCTTCCCTTGAGAAAGAAGGCCAAAGCGCTCCCATGCAAATCTGCCACTCTCCATACGTACACTATCTCTCTCCTTCCCATGGAGCAGAGCGTAGCAGGTGGAACAGACTCCTCGGTCTGTCACACTTTGAGCATTATTAGACTGAGTCTTTTATAAGAATATTTTGTTGATGTAATCCTAAAATTGTAAATTTATGATAGATGTCTTCCATCCTGGCTCCATCTCAGTTTACTGGCCAGATGTTGACTTTTCTTGATTGGTGTTGACAAACACAAGGCTTGTGTTGACTTCCTTCTTAACATAAGGAATATTGCAAACATTTCTGTTATCACTGTCCCGTTTCTTATCAGGGTTTACTTTTCACTTCTTATCAACAGGTTTTAATCACAGTCCAGAAAGCAGGTAGTTAGTCATTGCAGGTCTTAATATTATACTGGTGTTTCCCAAATTATTAGCTCCATACATCCTTCCATTCTTCCATTCACTTCCATTCATATTAAATCCACATTTATAAAATCTGCATATTAAATTTTTATGACAACTTTATAAACTGTACAATAATAATGTACAGTTTATAAAGTTCAACATCTTTATTAATGACTTAGATGAGGGGTTAGAAGGCAATGGTCATCAAGTTTGCAGATGACACCAAATTGGGAGGGTTACCTAATACTCCAAAAGGCAGGAGCAGAATTCAAAACGATATTAACAGGTTAAAGAGATCATTGGCCAAAACTAACAATATGAAGTTCAACACAGACAAATGAATGATATTCCACTCAGGCAGAAAAAAGGTCAAGATACAGAATAGGAGACGCCTGGCTCAACAGTAGTACATGTGAAAAAGATCATAGACAACAAGTTAAACATGAGCCAATAATGTCGTGCAGCAGTTTAAAAAGCCAGTGGGATTTTGGCCTGCATAAATAGGAATCTAGTGTCTAGATCCAGGGAAGGCATGCTTCCCTCTATTCCGCCTTCGTCAGACCACACCTGCAATCACACTGTGTCCAATTCTGGGCACCGCAATTGAAAGGAGATGTTGACAAGCTGGAATGTGTCCAGAGGAGGGAGACCAAAATGATCAAGGGTCTGGAGAAAAAGCTCTATGAGAAGCGGCTTAAAGAACTGGGCATGTTTAGTCCACAGAAGAGAAGGCTGAGAGGAGGAATAATGGCCATGTATGAATATGTGAGGGGAAGTCATAGGGAGGAGGGAGCAAGCTTGTTTTCTGCTGCCCTGGAGACTAGGATGTGGGACAATGGCTTCAAACTACAAGAAGGAAGATTCCACCTGAACATAAGGAAGATCTTCCTGACTGTGAGAACTGTTCAGCAGTGGAACTCTCTGCCCCAAAGTGTGGTGGAGTCTCCTTCTTTGAAGACTTTTAAACAGAGTGTGGATGACCATCTGTCAGGGGTGCTCTGAATGCGATTTTTCTGCTTCTTGGCAGGGGGTTGGACTGGATGTCCTATGAGGTCTCTTCCAACTCTATGATTCTAATGGTAGTTATATTGCTGAAGTGTAACACTCAAAAAATTCTGGATACTCTTAAGCCTTTGAGACATTAAAAGTGGCTATGAGTAAAATCACTACTTCATAATCTTCAAGAGTGGTGACTGGCAGTCTAGATGTCTTTCAGGCAATTTTTACCGGGAAAAAATAGGGAAACTCAGACATACAGAGCCTGTAGCTCTTATGTTCCCATCCCAGACGTACAGGATAGATCACTTTACATTCTTACGCAACGTAAGGGAAGAACATGATCGCTATCTATAAGCAGCTGCTTTTTACCTACATGTGAAGGATGTGAAAGACAACCTCTAATTTTCCCCTAGCATGTAAGGGTGTGAGGAATTTGAAATGTCAAGTTTGCATGTACTGAAGGGATTCCCCCGGTTATCTTAGCTAGATCACTCATTCTTAGCTTAACCAACTCACACATAGGATAGAGTAAGGGATCGGACTGTCATTCTGAGGCTAAAGTATGGGGAGAAGCCCTGAACACAGCAGAAGCTTTCCCAAATATATATGTACCTACTGGAAGAATGCAAGACACAATTCTGAATACTCTTAAACCTTTGGGACATTAAACGTGACTACGACCAAAACCGCCACTCCAAAATCTTCAAGAGTGGTGACTGTAAAATACATCATTTCAGTGCTTTGTTACCAGCCTACACAGTTCTGAGTTTATTCAATTTACAAAGACAATGACGACCAGATTAGGAAAGGACAATGACAATGCTAGATGGATTATGGATTTATTAATTGGCGAACATTGACCACAAGATGATTTTATTGCTGCTATTGTATTGTTTTTGATTGTTTTAACTAGTCATAACTGCTGACGCTATATTGTAATTTGTACATTGTATTTTGTGAATTGTTGGGCATCAAATTGTGCCTTTTGTAAGCTGCCCTGAGTCCCCCCTAGGGGGTTGAGAAAGGCGGGGTAGAAGCACCCCAAATAAATAAATAATAATAATAAATAAACATCTAAAAAGCGGTTTTGAATTTCTCCAAATAGCATTGCAGATTTGGTCCTCTCTCTCTACCTACCCACCTATTTGAGAAGTGCTGCTTTAAACAGGATTTCCAAAACTCATCAGACACTTTCAAGCAAACGAAGATGTGCTTTCAAATTCAGAATATTTTTCATCATGAAAAAAGTCATAAATATTAAAATCAAGGAAGTAAAACGACTAATTTCTGAATAGAAAGGAAACGCATTTACCACTGCAAGGGTAAACCTACCTTTCTGGATTTAGGCTGTGGCACCTCTGGAGGTCCAGTGTGGGATTTAGTCCAGAAAAAGCCAATGAGTGGCATGGTAGCAAAGAATCCAGAGAGCGCACCATGGTGTGCTTGCACATGCTTCTGCTGCTTGAGGCCCCATGTCCGATACCGATGGGAGAGGAGCAAACCAAGAGAGAAGAACACCACCATGGAGATCAGCACTTCCTTGTTGGCATAACTCAGCAAATCTCCACATTTCTTATAGACGTAGATGAAAGAGGCGATGCCCAAAAAAGTCCACATTTTGAAGTGTGTGTTGCGCTGGCTCTTCTTTTACAAGTTTTCTTGTAAATAGATGCCCTCTGAGCAGCAAGCTCCACACACATCCAAGCTTGACAAAAATATTTAAGCAATTGTAAAGAAGTTTGTTTCACACATGAAGTAAAAAGGGATAGAAAGTGCAGCGCAGAGTCAAACTTGCCAAACTTGAAAGGATATCAGAAAAAAAACTTTGGTCATAAAAAGCAGTTTCTCCCCAGGGAAATAATGTGAATCTGCATGTTGAGGTCAACATGTATCCCTGGAAATGACACCATTTGTTTGTACACCAGTCTGTTGATTTCTGCCAGCACGCATTTTTGAGGACTTAATCTTTCATGGACCAACAGAAGGGTCACCTGGGGGAAAAAAGAAATGTGTATGTTTAAGAGAGTGACTTGTTTAAGAGACATGTTTAAGAGAGTGAAATATCAAAATCCAGTCATGACAGAAGACGTGGAACGCTAAGCCAAGTCATAGATGGAGCATCAGTGCAAATGAAAGCAATGCTAAAAACGTGTGGATTTCAAACATGGCATTAAATTTCACTCATCTCTGTAATTTTTTAGAGAACTCCCTTTACTTGTAAAAAAAAATGTAAGTTACTAAAAGAGAGGGAATCATTGTGACCATGCCCTGTTTTCCAGAGGCATCTAGTAGGGCTTTTCAGGAAACAAAACACTTGACTAGATAATCAGATCCAGGAAAACAAGAACAACAGTTTTGTAGGGCTCTTGCATTCAATGTTTACTTAAAAGCATCTCTCTCTCTCTCTCTCTCTATATATATATATATATACTCTCCCTCCTTTAGCTGGAAAAATTCTCTGAGCAACTTACATGTCTAACAAAAATGAGGCTGAACTACAAGGCATTTTGAGCCTCTTTGAATACTATTTGGGAGGAAAGCCAGATACAGTGGGCTTTTGGTATAAACTGGGTTTTGGTTCCACAGCTTCCATCTTTGGATCTATCTATGAATGCTTTGGAAGCTTTTAAACAGAGGCTGGATGGCCATCTGTCAGGAGTGCTTTGAATGCAATATTCCTGCTTTTTGGCAGGGGGTTGGATTGGATGGCCCATGAGGTCTCTTCCAACTCTATGATTCCAATATTACATGTAATATAGAATATACAATTATTATATTATTAGATATTATATTGTACTATATTATTATACCACAATATATATAATACACTACCAGTATATTATACTATTGGTATTATATAATATATTGTACTACATGATTAGCTATCTATATAAATAAAAATGTAATATTCAGCAGTATACAATTATAATATTATTATATTGTACTATATTATTATACCACAATATATATAATACACTACCAGTATATTATACCATTGGTATTATATAATATATTGCACTACATGATTAGTTACCTATATAAATAAAAATGTAATATTCAGCAGTGGAACTCTCTGCCCCGGAGTGTGGTGGAGGCTCCTTCTTTGGAAGCTTTTAAACAGAGGCTGGATGGCCATCTGTCAGGGGTGCTTTGAATGCAATTTTCCTGCTTCTTGGCAGGGGGTTGGACTGGATGGCCCATGAGGTCTCTTCCAACTCTATGATTCTATTAATCTAATATTACATGTAATATAGAATATACAATTATAATATTATAATATTATATTATATTGAACTATATTATTATACCACAATATATATAATACACTACCAGTATATAATACTATTAGTATTATATAATATATTGTACTACATGATTAGCGATCTATATAAATAAAAATGTAATATTCAGCAGTATGCAATTATTATATTATTATATTATACTATATTATTATACCACAATATATATAATACACTACCAGTATATTATACTATTAGTATTATATAATATATTGTACTACATAATTAGTTATCTATATAAATAAAAATATATTATTCAGCAGTGGAACTCCTTGCCCTGGAGTGTGGTGGAGGCTCCTTTGCTAGAAGCTTTTAAACAGAGGCTGGGTGGCCATCTGTCAGGGGTGCTTTGAATACAATATTCCTGCTTTTTGGCAGGGGGTTGGATTAGATGGCCCATGAGGACTCTCCCAATTCTATGATTTTATGATTTGTGGGATTAACGTAACTCAAAAACCACTGGATGGATTGACACCAAAATTGGACACAACCCACAGCAGAAGAGACTTTAAAAGCCAAAAAACAAGATATATATGTGCAAAACCACACACACATATATATCTATATAAATAAAAATGTAATGTGTGTTTGTGATATTAACACAACTCAAAAACCAGGGGGAATTGACACCAAATTTGGACACAAGACACCCAACAACCCAATGTATGTCCTTCACTCAAAAAAACTGATTTTGTCATTTGGGAGTTGTAGTTGCTGGGATTTATAGTTAACTTACAATCAAAGAGCATTCTGAACCCCACCAACGATGGAATTGAACCAAACGTGGCACACAATTCTCCCATGACCAACAGAAAATACTGGAAGGGTTTGATGGGCAATGTCCTTTGGTTTTGGAGTTGTAGTTCACCTACATCCAGAGATCACTGTGGACTCAAACAATGATGGATCTGGACCAAACTCTACACGAATACTCAATATGCCCAGATGTGAACACTGGTGGAGTTTGGGGAAAATAGAATCTTGACATTTGGGAGTTGTAGTTGCTGAGATTTATAGTTCACCTACAATCACAGAACATTCTGAACCCCACCAACGATAGAATTGGGCCAAACCTCCTACACTGAACCCCCATGTGGGCCACAGCAACGCGTGGCAGGGGACAGCTAATATATATATGCTAACACACTTATACACAAATATATACACACAAAAAACACATATACACAGACTGGGCCACAGCAACGTGAGGCAGGGGATGGCTAGTGTGTATATATATATGTATATATATACTCATACATACATATATGGAGATTGAAGGGTTGCTTGCCTTAGGCCTTCTTTCTTCTGGCTGGGCAAGTTGGCCAGGTTGTATTTTGCACTTGTTTCCCGTCTTGATGGAGTTTGGGGTTCCCTCTGCCTCAGTTTCTCTCAGGAAGGCAAACAAACCCGGCTTTTTGTCCCTTCTAGGCCACCTTCTCCACCTTTCCCATCCTAGAGGCTGAGCCAAGCCACCGGCCGCTTCAGACTCCAAGGTGCGCTTTAGGATGCAGGATGCTCTGGCTCTGAGCGAAGCACAAGGGGAGAGGCCTCAGGGAAGTGGGCGGGGCCCATGCAAATGAGCCGCGCGCTCTCCTCCAATCCCTCCCTCCCTGGCGCCGCCGCCGCGCGCTTCCAAGCCCAGCCCTTCCCGGCCAATCCGCGCTGCTAAGCTGAGATGGTCTTATGGCGCTCGGGCCAATGGGAGGAAGGAGTAGGCGGGGTTTCGGGTCCCGCGGGAGCCTAGTGCGATGTGACGTCAGACGCGCGAGAGACTCGTCCTTTTTTTTTTCCTTTTTTTGACATCGGGTGGGCAACGGATCTCTTGTTGCCATGGTGACGGGCGGTCGCTAGCAACGGTGTGGCGCATGGGCTACAGAAACGCATGCGCAGTAAAGCCAACACATCTCATCCTACAGGGTGGTTATTTTTAAGACTTCAACTCCCAGAATCCTCAGCTGCTGTGGCCAATGATCAGAGATTCTGGGAAATGAAGTCCCGAATACACCTGGAAGGAGACGTTCCCCAATATCTTGAATCTGGGATACAAATAGAAATGATAATTTAATATATTATAATTTATTATTTAATATTCATATATATATGTGTGCGTGTGTGTGTCCATCCTACCTGCGTGACCGCATCTCCATCTACGAACCCACGCGCTCGCTACGTTCATCTGGAGAGGCCCTGCTCGTGATCCCACCGGCGTCGCAAGCACGTTTGGTGGGGACACGAGACAGGGCCTTTTCTGTGGTGGCCCCCCGTCTCTGGAACACTCTCCCCAAAGATCTTAGACAGGCCCCTACATTGGCAATCTTCAGAAAGAACTTGAAGACCTGGCTGTTCCGATGTGCCTTTCCCGATTAGGAAATCTTCAATACCAAGTCCCAGACGCATTTTATTAGAATTAAGACTGCCGCACACTGCACATTGCACTTGCCTATAATCCTTACATATCACCTGTCACATCAGCACTTTTAATCCTGTACCCTTTACTCTGGCCCGGCTCAGTTTTATCTTGTTTGATGTATTGTTTATTGCTTGTGGTTCTTGTTGTTTAATGATGCTTTAATTGTTTTTAATTTGCTTTAAGTGTATTGTATGTTGTGTATTGAGGCCTTGGCCTTTGTAAGCCGCATCAAGTCCTTCGGGAGATGCTAGCGGGGTACAAATAAAGTTTAATAATAATTATATAAAGGTGAAGGCTGTCCCCTGTCATTAAGTCCAGTCATGTCTGACTCTGGGGGTTGGTGCTCATGTCCATTTCTAAGCCGAAGAGCCAGCGTTGTTCATAGACACCTCCAAGGTCATGCGGCCGGCATGACTGCATGGAGCGCCGTTACCTTCCCGCCACCTATAGATCTACTCACATGTGCATGTTTTCGAACTGCTAGGTTGGCAGAAGCTAGGGCTAACAGTGGAAGCTCACGCCGCTCCCCGGAATCAAACCTGCGACCTTTCAGTCAACAAGCTCAGCAGCTCAGCTGTTTAACCCACTGTGCCTCCATATATATATATATATATATATATATATATATATATATATATATATAATATTAATACTATTGTATTTGTTCTGTCACCACTGGACCTGAAATGAAGTGCCTTTAAAAGAGGATGTATGGCTTGGATCCAGCGGGAAGCCAGGGGCCTCGAAAAGAAGCCTTTAGAGAAATTTCCCTTATTAAACAGTCTTTATGAGGCTTGAGCTTAAATATAACAGTCTTTTATTGATGAACAAACAGGAATTGTAAAGTTTTCTAAACAGTCTCTTGGCTCTTGCAATCTTGTTCACAGGGAACAGGCACTATCTTCAAAAACCTTGTTCAAAGGAAAATTCCCCTTTCTAGCTCCTCCCAGGCTACTGTGAACCTAAACCTGACTGATTTGAATCCACTACCGACTGAACTGCGTCTCAGAACCGAGTAGACATACCAACAGGCCTGTAATCACTTAGCTGCTTTGATGGTTAGAGCTGTTATTCCCTCCGGAATTCCTCAGGGCTGTAAGGCTGTTTCCCCAGAACCTTTGGGAATCTTTAGAGGCTCTCAAGACTGTTCTCCCCCGGAAAGTCTTAAGGGACGAAGCCTTTGCACAGGAGGACGTCTGTATACATCCTCTGCATTGACTTCCTTTGCTGAGACTAACTGAAAAATGGCCCCTTCCCTCCAAAAAACCCAGAGAGCGGCGGGACCAGGGATCCTAACTATAATAGACAGGTGGCTTGCCCTATGATTGCAAACTATAACAGGAAGCCACCCTGCTGCAAAATCCCAAGCCTGGGATTGCAAACCAGCATTTAATTCAAAGCAAATAAATTTGGAGCTCCTGGAACAGCTGTTCCAGAACAGTATTATATTATACTACACATTATTTTTTATTTATTTATTTACGACATTTATATGCTGCCCTTCTCCCCCCAAAGGGGACTCAGGGCGGCTTACAGTAATATATAAATGATGTTGTTGTTCATTCATTCAGTCGTTTCTGACTCTTCGTGACCTCATGGACCAGCCCACGCCAGAGCTCGCTGTCGGCCGTCATCACTCCCAGCTCCTTCAGAGTCAAGCCAGTCACTTCAGTGATGCCATCCATCCATCTTGCCCTTGGTCGGCCTCTCTTCCTTTTTCCTTCCATTTCCCCCAGCATCATTGTCTTCTCTAAGCTTTCCTTTCTTCTCATGATGTGGCCAAAGTACTTCATCTTGGCCTCTACCATCCTTCCCTCCAATGAGCAGTCAGGCTTTATTTCCTGAAGTATGGACTGGTTGGATCTTCTTGCAGTCTAAGGTACTAATATCATATTATTATTAGTAGTATAATATTGTAATATAATATTATCAATATTATATGTATATACAATATATTATATTATATTATATTATATTATATTATATTATATTATATTATATTATTATTATATTATATTATATTATAAGCACAGTGCAGGAGATAAGAAGGAACGGCCTTCCTGGCCCCTCTCTTGTAGTAATAATAATAATAATAATAATAATAATAATAATAATAATAATACTTTATTTATACCCCGTCTCCATCTCCCCAAGGGACTCGGAGAGGCTTACATGAGGCCAAGCCCAACGACACATCAATAAAAAAGAAAGCAATAAACAAAAAATAACAACAATACAATTACTCTGATCTCAGAGCAGCAGTTGGTGCTGGAGGAGGGGCTCCCAACTGATGACACTGGAGGCGAGATGGAATTGTCTGTCTTCCTGGCCCCTCTCTTCATTCTGATCTCAGAGCAGCACATATATAATACATGTATGTGCATGTTGTATATATATACTCAATTTGCTTTTGACTTGATAAAAAAATAAATAATATGACTGATAACAAGAGGCCTTCTCCCCACTGTCAATGAGGAAAGACATTGGCATGCCAACTGATATGGGCCAGAGATATCAATGCCTTGGTCCTTTCATTAGTGGCTGCTACTTCCTGGCGGATGTCAGGTGGTGCAATACCAGTCAAACAGTATAATTTTTCCAGCGATGTAGGGTGTAGACATCCTGTGATAATGGGTCATGTCTCATTAAGGGCCACATCCACTGTTTTAACGTGGTGAGAGATGTATTCCACACTGGGCATGCATATTCAGGAGAAGAGTAGCAAAGCGTGTCTGGTTGTGATCCCCAGGTTGTGCCAGTCAGCTTTCATACAGTGTTCTTTCTAGCAACCACTTTTTGCTTGATAGTCAAGCAGTGCTTCTGTACGCAAGAGCACGGCCCAGACAGCAATGGCCAAGCTTCAGGCATCCAGGTGTTTTGGATTTCAACTCCCACAATTTCTAACAGCCTACCTGTTTTGGACTTCAACTCCCACAATTCCCAACAGCCTACCTGTTTTGGACTTCAACTCCCACAATTCCCAACAGCTTACCTGTTTTGGACTTCAACTGCCACAATTCCTAACAAACTAGCTGTTTTGGACATCAACTCCCAGAATTCCTAGCAGCTTACCTGTTTTGGACTTCAACTCCCACAATTCCCAACAGCCTGCCTATTTTGGACTTCAACTCCCACAATTCCTAACAGCCTACCTGTTGTGCAGATCAACTCCCACAATTCCTAACAGCCTACCTGTTGTGCAGTTCAACTCCCACAATTCCTAACAGCCTACCTGTTGTGCAGATCAACTCCCACAATTCCTAACAGCCTACCTGTTGTGTACTTCAACTCCCACAATTCCTAACAACCTACCTTTTTTGGACTTCAACTCCCAGAATTCCCAATAGCTTACTGTTTTGGACTTCAACTCCCACAATTCTGGACATCTTACCTGTTTCGGACTTCAACTCCCACAATTCCCAACAGCCTACCTGTTGTGTACTTCAACTCCCACAATTCCCAACAGCCTACCTGTTGTGTAGTTCAACTCCCACAATTCCCAACAGCCTACCTGTTGTGTAGTTCAACTCCCACAATTCCCAACAGCCTACCTGTTGTGTAGTTCAACTCCCACAATTCCCAACAGCCTACCTGTTGTGTAGTTCAACTCCCACAGTTCCCAACAGCCTACCTGTTGTGTAGTTCAACTCCCACAATTCCTAACAGCCTACCTGTTTTGGACTTCAACTCCTGCAATTCCTAACAACCTACCTTTTTTGGACTTCAACTCCCACAATTCCCAATAGCCTACCTGTTTTGGACTTCAACTCCCACAATTCCCAACAGCTTACCTGTTTTGGACTTCAACTCCCACAATTCCTAACAACCTACCTTTTTTGGACTTCAACTCCCAGAATTCCTAGCAGCTTACCTGCTTTGGACTTCAACTCCCACAATTCCCAACAGCTTACCTGTTGTGTACTTCAACTCCCACAATTCCCAACAGCCTACCTGTTGTGTACTTCAACTCCCACAATTCCCAACAGCCTACCTGTTGTGTAGTTCAACTCCCACAATTCCGAACAGCCTACCTGTTGTGTACTTCAACTCCCACAATTCCCAACAGCCTACCTGTTGTGTACTTCAACTCCCACAATTCCTAACAGCCTACCTGTTTTGGACTTCAACTCCCGCAATTCCTAACAACCTAGCTGTTTTGGACTTCAACTCCCACA